TATTATAAATAGACTGGTTATTTTTCATCATGTGACGGCCTATAGCCTTAATTGTGGCATATCGTGTGATTTTAGACCGGGTACTATCTGGAGATTACCTGATAAGTCATATGAATGGAACTTGAGTTCATATCCAGAACTAGGTTATAGTCCGACACTATCTGTCAATATGTTTAATAGCGGGGATGGGTCAAGGTTCAAACATCTGTTGCAGTATTTGTGACAAATTTGAACTGTCACCTCTTAGCCTACAAGTTATTGCTCTATTTTCAAATTAACATGCAAATAACAAGAACTTATTCACAATTTATCGATTTCAACTGGCATTATGATAAAGATATCCCCATAAATAGATCGTTCAATGTGATTTCGTTTATTGATGGAAGATACATGATTATTGACATTGTAATCGTATTAACTCTGATCGGCCGGCGTATCAATTTCATCGCACACACAAAAACCACTTCTGGCAGACTACCGAAAACAGGATGATGGTATGGGCGCCATCTGCCGTCACATGTTCCCGTAGGGTAATCCTTGGTATAGGTAACTGAGGCAAGTGTTGTAAAGCCTGTCGTCCATGGCAACAAAAACTCCGTAGGGCATTGTTGGGTTGTTGGGGTGTTTGTTTGTTTGTTTGTTACCTCCGCCGAAGAGGTTATGTTTTCATGGGCGTTGTTTGTTTGTTTGTTTGTTTGTTTGTTGTTGGTCGGTTGGTTCGGGTTTGGTTGGTTTGTCTGTGAAGAGGATAACTCAAAAAGTATCATATGGACAGATTTTCGTGATTTTTTTTTACGGGTGGTCCTTGCTACAAGTACAACTCGATCATATTTTGGAAGTGATCTGGATCTGGGTCGGGATGCAGGATTTCATTTAGGACTCTTCACACATAATATACACACACTTGTTTATGGTGTAAATCGAGGATTTTCTTAATTTGTTCCTCTTCCCTTTTCCTTTGTTTGTACCGAGGAGTCCTCCATTCGGTTTCTGACCTCGATTTACCGATGACGTTGCACGTGTGTGTCCTCGATTTACACCATAAACAAACGCCAGCACACACGCGGTCATGTTTTACTATACTCATTAGGACTTGCCATTGTTCCCTTCATTTGTTCCCTTTGCTTGTACTTCATATTTTTCTCGACAGCTCCCATGAGGTTTGTTCACGAAATTCTCCCGAGGACCTGGGCCCAGGTCCTCGGGTTATTGTTATCGCACACACCCCATTGTCCCAAGCCCTCAGTCGTATAGGATGTATGTACACAAAATCAGGACACGTTGTTCCTTAGAAATGATTTCCACGATTCAAACCCGGAGATTGAGTCTCTTTACTTTGACTGTTCAGAAATTGTTGGAAGAGATACTCCCAGTCTTCATATCGCTCTTCAAACTTCCAGGGCTTGACGAAATGCCACATGGAAACTGCCACATCTTTGGGGTTACGGATGACATACACGACCTGCATGCAAAGACCAATGAAAAGTACTGAACCCTATATCCGAACATTAACATTCCCAAAAACTGCAGACACAAAAAGTTCTTACTATCCTGTGAAGAACTTAATAGGGGATGTTGTCAAAAACTCAAATAGCAATATAAAAATTCCGAGAAAAGCTGTTGCTTATAACCCACAAAAACGTGATAAAGAAAAAAAAGCTTACACCTTTTTAAAAACAACAAAGTTCATTTTTATTTACATTACGAAGATTGATTAATTAAAAACATACCGTTTGAATTGAATTAAATCTTGTTGAATACTCGGTATGTTTTTTTTGGTTGTAATTACACTGTTGATGATCTAATATTTTTGCTGTAGTTGTGCTTATTACGCTCAGGCAATCAGATTCGGTTTTAGTCCTGCTAATTTTGGAGACAACGCTTTCAATTTCGAATTTGCGTCATCCATTTTGGACCTGCAAATTTCATTCAAATACGTTCAGTTAATTTTCAGTATAGGAGGGAAGAAATGTTGAACCTTGGACCTAAGGTTCCTTTGAAAAGCGCCCTGCCGATGCTAAACCACCTGACCTACCAAACCTTCAGTCGGTTCGTTGATGATTAGTTCATAACTTACTTTTCTTTTTCCCTGGTAGAACTGGGAAGTTTTTCACGGCATCCAGACTTACCTGTGTGACCATCCAGGGCCAATTGAGACCCTCCAATCGGACGATACCGGGCTTGGAAAGTTCCAACTTCATCGGGACACTAGAACTTGTCATGTTGCTCGTGAACTCCCGCTAATGTTGATGTGCAGAATATTGAACCAACTACCACACCCGGGTATTTGTAATGATAAATGTTTCACCCGGGCCCAAAAAGAAAAAAAAGCTGTACTGTATGTCGTGCAAACCCTTGCTCCTCGTGAACAAAAGAGATTGACAGCTTCCTCTGCCATTGTTATGACAAGGGCCAATATGTGATTTCGAATTACATATACTTTCTGAAGTTTACCTGATCTGGAAGATGTGATATGACGCCATGGGCGGGGACCATGGGGACCATCATGTGTCACGGTGTGAATACCTGTGTGATGTTAGTTTTCCCAATTTTGAACTATCACCCTCCAAGAACTTTTATCCTATTTCCAAATTAGTTTGCGCGTTGTGCATATTGCGAACTATGTCTGATGTATTTCGTCTATATACGTGTAGGCGCGCGGCAAGTGCCTTTACTTGTCTTGCTCTCTCACTTCCCGTTCGCGTTTTTTTTTTTAGGTTATCTACAATATTCTCCCAAAATGCAGTACTTTTTTTAGAGATTTTTTTAAAGTGGCCTAGTTGGGCCACCACATTGCTCAACCCGCCCCTGCCATTTTACCTTGATCTGCCACAATGCATTATATAAGGGAGATATTTGTAAATGGCTTACCTTAGAATTAACTTAAAACACTGCAGATCAAACTGATGTTTAAACCCAAACCAGCTGGACGTATATTTGTCCTCTGAAGAACACCATACACCCTCAATCAAACTTTGCGCCCTTGAACCTGCCAGAGACGAACTATTATGTGTAAATAGTTTGAGGGTAATAACGTGAAGTTTCCGTGGCTTTGTTGTGGCACATCGTGTAAGCTTGATTTCTGAAGTTGACCTGGTTGTACTTATTGTGAACGGTACAAAAATAGAATCGGGCTATAATCTAATAGTGCAACTTATCTGTAAATATTTTTTTAAGTGGCTCATCGGCCATCGGGAGCATCGTGTAATGGGCACGGTGTGAATACCTGCCGAGGTTATAGTTTTCCAATTTTGGACTTTCACCCTCTAAGAACTTCCACCCTATTTCCAGCTTAGTTGGCATGTACGCCAATGAAATCCCAATGGATGTATCGTCTGCGCGTACTTATAGGCGCCGGGCGCAGCGGCACTGCGACAACTGAACTGCGTCCATGCGTCTTAACTTTCTCTAAAACTGACATACTCCATATTACATGTGCATATACTTTTGGTATTAACACAACATGGACACATTTTCTGACGTTTCCTATTTTTTTCCTTTTTGTGAGAGTGTATTCAACATTGTTCTCAATTCTTTTATTTTTCCATAGATCTGTCTTCCTTCTATTTTACTTTTATTACTCACAATCAATTATTAAGTAATTTACAACGTTGGTGTGGAAGTTGATTTATAGGGGCCCACGAGGTTCGAGCAAAGCCTGAGTATATATGCCAAGGTACAAAGTATTTCAGATTAGGCAATAACTTTTGCAGTGAAGGTTTCAATACAAATTTGCAAATAAGAGCTGTAAATGCACTCCATGATCTTTTCGAACTGGTGCAATGAAATCAGAAAATATTTCCTAAAAACATGATGATGTTTCTATTAATACAGAGTGAGTCAAAAAAAGCGGAACCCAAACCCCCCAAATCAGATTTCATATATAAAAAAAATATGTAGCACCAAAAATAATAATGACTGGAAAAGCTAATTTAATAAGCTATTTGTAGTTGAAAAATTACTGAAATTGCCCAATCCGTTCAAAGAATATCACCACTTAAACACACTGACCCTAAAACCTCTTTCGTCCAAAAATGCGATTTCAAGAATCGTCGTCACAATTGTCTTCAAACGTCATCACCAGCAATAAAACCTCAGTTTAAAAGTTAGAAATATTCAACAAAGCCCTTTTGAAGGCCCGTCTTTAAAAAAAAAGAGGAGATGCTATAAATCATATTGTTTGCCTAACAAGGGTCGCTGATAAAGATATTGTATACTACAGTTGTTGACAGTTGTTGAAACAAGTATTCTGTGCCATTTTATTTGTTGCTCCAAAGAGATCAGAATACAAAGTAAATTGCTTTTTGTTTTGGACGAAACAGGTTTTAAGGTCATTGCGTTTAAATGGTGATATTCTTTGAACGGATTGAGCAATTTCAGTCATTGTTTCATCTAAAAGTAGTTTATGATATTTGCTTGCCAGTCATTATTATTTCTTTGTGCAACATATTTTTCTAAATATGAAATATATTTTGTGATGTTTATTGGGCTTCGCTTTTTTTGACTCGCCCTGTATTAAGTGCCTTCGCGGCGGTCACCTTAACTTGTATAAAATTATGAAAAGGCGAACCACGACGTTTGATGTGAACCAGAACTACGACGTAAACATGACCATGTACGACGTACACTTGTTCCTTTTTAGAACACGATACACAATCTCACATAAACTTTGCTCCCCTGTCAACAAACGACAGTCTATGAATAGATAAGTGATATTTCACCGTGTGACGGCTTGTGTCTTTTAGTTGTGGCACATCATGTGATTTTAAAGCACGATTTCTTATGTTTACCTGGTAAGATTGTTTATGGCACGCACACAGTCCAGTAAAACTCACCCTATAATACTGTAAATATTTGACAAGCCGGTACGTATGGACAGTTTCCTGTGATGGGTCACGGTGGGAATATCTGCCGAGGTGAATTTTACCAATTTTGAACTTTACCTTCCTCATCCTGTCACCCTATTTCCGAATTACTATACCCATGATTATACAAATAACAAGAGTATCTGCAAAGTTTATTACTTCTCACTGAAATTTTGACACCAACTTGAACATCATCATAAATAAACCGTTTACTGTAGGCCTATACACATTTTTTGATGTTGCATGAAGCTATAGACCGCATGCAGTTGACGTAACATCGGAGGGCATGCATTTAATACAATGTAGTTATAATAGGCATCCTAGACACAAAGTGACAATGTGCTTTCAATGATACAATCTGTCACAGCGGGCGTGTTCATCTATTCAAACCGTGGACGAAAAATTCCAGAGAACAAAAGAGAATAATATCGTCCACGATTCCCAGCAACTGAGGTCCGCGATTGGGGTCGTGTACAAGACATATGGGAGTCTTCCTAAAAAGTTAAGAGTACAAACAAAAGAGGGACAATAGGACGTCCACGATCGACGGTGTGAACACGTTTACTAGAGCACGCACCGAAAGTTTCATCAGTGTGCACTTATGCTGCTTTCACCGGTTCACGTTTAATACCCTTAATGTGCCACTCTATAAATTTGGGGTCCACTTTTTTCCTGCCCCTTTTACATTGACGTCGATGATTTTATAATTCTAATGCGCTCCTCAATGCAGTCGTCTCATAGTTGAATGGCATTCAAAATACCAAAGTAACAGCTATAGGACAGGAAAAATGTCACATTTTCATTTGGACCCTAAATTTACCGAGTGACCAATATAGAAGGCGCGAATTAATCAATCGTGACCACCACGACTCGGTATGCCATTGAGAATCAATTATTTAAAACAATCAATTAAAATGTATCTCTTATAGGATTTAATAAGAAAACCCTGCCATGACAATCGTCGTCTACATGTACATGTATATGGATTAATATATTGGCACAATTGTATGCCCATTATATTTCGATATCCATTAACATTATCAAATAACATGCACAATGAATGTTTAACTGAATGCGTTAAGAGGTGAATGGACGAACTGCTTTTTTTTTTTAATAATAGACAATTACTCTTGTAAAGCGTATAATAATATTAAACTCGACTTATTAAAAAAAAAAAATCGAAAAGAGAGAAATTGATCAACATGCTCAAATTAGATTTGTCCCCTTACATTCACCCAAACAGTTAAAAAAAAAATCTGCTATTTTCCGTCCACTTTAGCATTTCTTTTCCGACTGAACCGTAACCTGCTTTTCGGATATTGTTTTAATATTTTTTTTAAAACTAATCCTGATTGCGTTTCGACAAAAACAAATGTTATAAAAAGGTTGCAATGTTCATTTTCGGTTGGTGTTTTGCAAACGTCGTCTAGACTAGGATTCAAAGCTTTATAAATTCGCACTTGAATAGCTTATCATGCATAAAAGCGCATTTTAGAGGTGGTTGTTGTGTTTTCAACTAATCCTGATTGTGTCTCGAAAAAAAACGCTGTTATGAAAAGGTCGAAAAGGTCATTCTCGGCGGCTGTTTTGAAAACGTCGGCTAGAATTTTAACTCTACGCTCAGCTTCTAGAATACAAAGTTTTATAAACTCTTACTTGAATAGCTTGTCATGCATGAAAGCGAAAAAGGCAAACTTATAATGTCATTTTTGAAACCTATTTTGCGCACTAAGTATATTTCAGATAGCTTGCGATGTGCAATTGAAAAGCCAGATATTCACTCCTAAAACAGCATAGTAAAAAACCGACTGGTTTTGCTTATTTGGTTTTTTTGTGAGTGGTATTCTGGGTTTCTATATTTACCTGGCAATCGCCAAAATTCTGATTTAAACTTCGGATTGATTTCCAGTTGTAGTCTACACTAATTAGGATTTACTGAGATACAAGTTTGCTTGCCAGTCAATCTGACTACATTTAAGTGTGGCCTCACAAGGTGGTAAGATTGAGAAATCAAAACACCTTCTTCTCATTCCGTGGGCCGCCGAATCGCTCCCCACTGTCCATGCTAAGGGAGCCCGCCCCTCCACCGAAGCCAACGCCCTTCGGCCCGAAAAATTTGCCGTAGCAGTTTTTGCAGAACAGCTTGATGTCGTGAGCGGCCACGGTGGTGGAATCCAGCATCTTTTTGCACGCCTCTGTTAAAGAAAGAAATAAACACGACACCCACTCCACTTTATTTAATTTTTTTTAGAATTTAAACCTTGCTCAGAAATGATGTTTTAGAACGTATAGATGGTGTTGCAAGGCTGTATGGTTGCAATACACGTGTAACACCAACGTCTAAACACTAGTAATTTTTGACACGCTGTCGGAAACGCGAGAATTATATGACGTCATTAGTATTATTTTGATTAATCATGTTTGTGCAATTTGCCTCAAATTATATACCAAGTTGTAATTGTTTTCGGTTTGAGAGTAATGTTGACAAACTTTATGCTTTCAAACCCAAACTGTCTGAAGAACGAATAGGCTACTTCGCAAAGTCTTTCGTGACATCCTAGTGATCGACTCGCTAAATACTCGCCAAATTACCAATATAATAAAATTGGTCGTCCCTGCATTATTGATAAAACCAAAACCAAATTCCGTGAAAGATTTACCACCTTACAAATCCAATACTTGACAAGCAGTTTGCACGATTTATTACTCTCAACAAGTCACATTATACACTTAATAAAAAAGTACACATGTAATGTATAACTAAAACAATAAAAACTGAACTTCCTAGAGCTTACGTAACAGCGTGCACAGAATCATACAACCACCTGATGTAGCCGAAAAGTTTACCAACATGTCTAAATCCAAAAATGATTACGCACTAAAGTTTCATCATTTCAATTATTAGATTTATTTATTAAACCTTTGTTTGTGGTTTCTGCTTACGTGTGATTACTGTGTTACGAGCACCACAAGCAATGCAACGTTTATTTAATCTATGCAGGGTTCGACCTTAACGCCTTCCGCCAGCCAAATGCGAGTAAAAACAACGCGGACTGAGTCGAAAACCATTCCCTAAGTCCGCCTGGCGCTGGCGAGTCAAAATTATTGTACATAACATTGTTGTTTATGACTTTCTGGTGCAAACATTTAAAAATTCTATTGCGTACTAGTGAAAAGGCCCGTGGACTAGAAAAGAGTCTCTTTCGCTAGTCCGGCTGGCCAGTGAAAAAAAGTGAAGGTCGAACCCTGCTAATGTCTTCGGTTTGCTTAGCAAAGATGATAGCCGTTATTCAAAAGATATAACTTACGAATGCTGTCTCGTGTACTATACAATTAAATACACCTAGCTTTGAACTAATGACAGCCATTTGGTTAAGGACTAAAATACGCATTGTTAGTTTGCTTGTTTTAACAACTCAGTCAGACTCAGAGGCAACTTTACTCAAAACACTGCCGCGTTAAACTTTCAATCTTCCCGCCAGTGTACGTATACGGAACGATGATTAACAACAATAGTCGACCTTCCGCGCCACAAGAGGGCGCCTAGCGACTACAGTACATGTTCACAGAATTAATGCAAAGTTCTGTCGATGCATTATCTAATATCAAAATCGAATTATATTCTAGATTTCGATATTTTTTGGTGTTACTCAAAACAAACATAGGTTTACTCCAAGATATGAACTCTGACCCCACTGCTCAACGTTAACAGCTCTTGGACCGCCATCATGGCCAAAACTATGCCATTGAGAGGCAATGGAGCAAATGATGACATTGAAAGGTATATAAAAGTGTAATTCAAGTAAACGAGGTACTGCATTTAGTTCGCTGTAGCCAAGATTGCTGGCATAACATTGGAAAGCAGGGTTAAGCGTATTGGGTGACAATTGAGATTTAAAATGTACTGAGGCCTAATCAATATAGGAACTAATTAGGAAGGTTCAGGTTTTGCTTTTTTGGACTATTTATCCAATTATGAGTATGACGTGATGAGTCTACGAAAGTGTTTACAAAATTCTTATTCTAACATTCTAAAGAACTATACATGATAGCTTATGTTTCCTACTTTTTAGCAGAAACCGGTTAGCTTCAAATTTGAGTATTTTTTTTCTACAAACAAAATCTTAAGTTTCGTCTTCCTGATTTTAACAGTCTGCACCATTCATCAGAATTACAACAGATCCCGACAAAAATGAGTTTACTACGTCATATTAATACCTTACTCTTTAACTACAACGCATGAAATTATACATATCTATTATGTACGCGTAAGCTTAAGTAGGCCTCGAAAGGACACTCTTTCTTTTAGTGCGAGTTGAAGGATCTAGCCAGGGTTTAATGAGGGATGATTTCCTCTAGAAAGAAACCATCTACTTCTTGGCGAATCTCTCCCCGCTGTCCATGCCGAGGGTGCCCGCCCCTGCACCGAAGCCAACTCCCTTGGGCCCGTAGTGTTTCCCGTAGCAGTTCCTGCAGTACAGCGCGAGTTCATGCTCGGCCACCGTAGTGGAATCCAACATCTTGTTGCATGTCGCTGTTGAGAGAGAAACAATACAAGCGATTCACAACGCTGTCGTTGGCGGCGCCAATCCTGCTTCACCCGCAGTGCATCACGAGAAAAACTTCAACACCCGTTTGTTTTTGAACAAGAATGTAAAGGGTTTTTTTTTAAGGGCTTTTAATTTTGAAAACGCGCGCTTTAAAATAGAGCACTTCTTCCACGAATATCGAAGGTTTTCATTTTGCAAAATTTCAAATGCAGTTGTTTCTGAAGTTGGAAATTGGACTTTTCGAGGTAGACCGGCGCTTAAATGTATTGCTCGCGCGCGTATTGTGAATCCCTTCTATCAAAAATCACTTTGCTCCAGCATGTAAACGATTAAACTCCGGAGTCTGCGTGAATTTTGACAATCATTAATGCATAGTGCTCCATTACCAAGACTACTATTACCCTCTTACTATTTTTGTTTTACAATTTTCCAAACTTCTTATCATACAATCAACGTTACAGCTAAAAAGAAAGTTTCTTATCACACTGCCAAATGTGGCTGGGAATTCTGTCCCCCTTTCCCTGCACAACGTCCCAGGACAGTATTCACTAGGGAAACGTGTCCCCCGAGCCAGGGGATTCTGAACCCCCCCCCCCCCCCACTCTAACTCCAACATATCTTTATTAGTGGTTTTACTTTTTCTCTTTACGATACTCGAAATGTTTCTTGACAAACAGGAGTACCGTCAAAACGGTAATTTTGAGACATATTTAATTATTGCTTTTATTACAAACTCGGTTTCCCTTATATTTAGAACATTTAGACTAAACTCTACACTTTGGTGTTGTTTGGTGTAAAAAAAATAGTATTTAACAAGGGGTGGGGGCCCAAAAAAAGATGTGACCAAAGTTACCTCCGTTTTGGAGCGACATTGGCCAGCCCTAATCATTTCTAAGGACAAAAAAGTCAAATTTTAAAGTTTCCTTCCAGGTTAAAAGTAGATCAAATGAACAATTGACCCTAGATTCCTTCAAAAAAAGTTTTATTCCCAAAGGCCTCCTTAATGCCATTTGACCGTTGACCTTCTTGTTCCTTGACATTTGACCTTTGACCTCTTGAAATTCGACCTAACATAATCATCCACTTCAACTACATTAAACTTTGCAGTGGCAATTTCTGAAACTTATCATTATCAAATTTACTGCAGAAATCTTGTTTTACAGAGATTTATATTCACTTGTAACTAAAATATGGGTGCTGACCAAATTTACCCCATCTTAATTTATCTGTCCTTTTCTCTTATTGTTGTTATCTAGCAAAACGCGTGGAAGCTGCGTAAAATGAGCGGGGGAACTATTAGCTAAGTTTAGTAAAGTAGAAGTCCCAGCGAGTCGCGCTTGGGGGACCTCATCCCCTGGGGGCCCTCATTCCCTGGGGCCATATTCCCCGCTGGAGACCATAATACCCCTTGGTGAAACGCGGACAGAATAACATTGGATAAAGTGTCTCGGGAGACACAATACACGAGACAAGCCAAGCAAAGTTGTCTGGGGGGACAGAATCTCCGTCCACATCGTCATTAAAACTTATAGCAGGGCAATAAATACACTAAAAATATATGTTATTAATTACGAACATACATTTCGTTTGGCTCATATTTTTATAATGTCACGAATCCTAAGCGAAGTAGTCTCTTCTTAAGAACAGTTGAGATCAGACATCTGGGACGTTGTCTGCGACCGATACGACTTCGAAATGTAACACTGAGAAGTACAGACACTTAATTCGCCAGTCGAATCTAACGTGTTTCGCTCAATTTCCTAAAAATCTGTAGCAGTGCACGACATGTTGTCACCATAAGTTACAAATCCTTGTCTAGTACAGTTTCTTTGAAACAAGTTTACCATGGGTATCGCCAGGATTTTTCTACAGGGGGGGGGGGGACATATTTTCCCAAAAAATGCCTGTATTTCTCAACATATTCTCGATTTTTCAGTTTTAGAGGGGGCCCCTCCCCCATTAAATTTACACCAATATGACTACGCGCCTCTTTTTTTCTTTTCGGGGGGGGGGGAAGCGGCCCCTTGCCCCCCCCCCCCCCCCCCCCCCCCCCCCCAGACGCCCATGAAGATTACCCAACCAAACCGTCAAGCGGTGTGTCACTCACAGCTTCGTTTGAATTTTTTTTTTTTTTTGCGAAAATATGCATGAATACATCAAATTACCAGCTCTCTACATTTGAAAACAACTAAAAAATGACGCCTGCAATTACTGCTGCGTCCGGTCAAAAATTAAAAAAATAGTAATTTCAGTCCGGTCACAATTAACGGGGGTTGAACAGTAACGAAGGGATGCATTTGTCAGAGTTCATTTGGGTATCTGTTACCATGCCGTGGGACTAGATGACTTGTGATTGGTTTATGTTGGTGGGCTGGACTGTAGCATGCACTCACTGCGTCAACTTAAGCCGTCAATAAACTACAGGGTGACCAAAGCGGATGCAACCCTGAAACATTTGCCTTTTTTTTCAAAAACGTGATCTGTGTTTTTTATGGTTTGGATATCAGATTAAAGCTGAGAGTTTTTTTCCCGTCAAATACTGAAGAAAAAAAATCATGTAACAGGGGCGGATCCAGGAATTTTTGCAGGGGGGGGGTTTCCTCAGCAAAAAAAAAACCTGAAATGTGGACAGGTTCTTATTTCCAGACACTTGGCCTCCAAAAGCAATGTCTGTGTGTGTGTGTGGGGGGGGGGGGGGATCGTACCATACTTTCAATGGGGACGCTGTTCAAATCCGATGATTAGTAACACTATGTTTACAGAATAGTGTACAAATACCCCTAGCCAAGCTGCCTCTGTACGTCTGACCATCTTCAGGAGAGTGCCTAAACTCTAAGAAAGAGTTCTTAGAGTCAAGGCACTCCCCTGAAGGAAAAAAGGCAAATGTTTTAGGGTTGCTATTGGGGGGGGGGGCGCCCTGTAGTGTGCCAATAATGAAGTGTCTTACCGCATTTAAAGCAGAGCTTATGAAACTTTCGTCCCTTGACCGTTGTCGGCGCCTCTTCAGCCTTGTACACGCTCTTGTCGCATGCAGGGCATGATTCACCGCCGCCCCACTGTGGCATTGTGCTTCGAGTCTGCGAGAAACAAAACCAATGGCAGCAATGAGGATTTTTCTTTATTTTCGAAATCTCGGCTTCGTTTCCAGTTTCGTCTTTGACTTGAACTTCAAGAAAAAGTTAGATTCCTGCCCTTGGGTGTCCGGCTCATTATGGGTCCCAGTTCTATTTCAAAAACCTTCACGTTCCAGAAGCATTTCGGTACGTCGAGGTTTTAAGCTGGATAGGGTTTCGAATTACGTACAGTACGCCACCAAGAGATCATCTTAGGGTTTTATTAATCGCCGCATTGTGGAAAAAAAGGGGCGTGTTTTCGCGACCGCGACCAGAAACATGTTTGTGACGTCAAATGGCAGAAACATGTTTACACATGCGCACAAAAACGCTGAAACGAAAACCGTGTCAAAAAGTTGTAAACAAACATGGCGGACATTTTGACAACATCGATAATTTTGAGGTGTTCGCGGCCAATCCCGGTGAAATTCGGGATAAAACCTTTGGGGCTTGTAAGTTGTATAGACATTTTATTAAAGGCCACTTGAAATGTACAAACTTAAAAAATAAACATTACAAGCTTATTTTTCCCAACACTGTTTTGTTACATGTCGTGTATTTATTTTTCCACCATCTTGAAATGCACTCCGTAACCAACCCTTGGCCTTAGTTCGGTTTCGGTCGGAACAGTGACGTCACTCCGGCCAACCGAAGTCACGAAAACGCTCAACCAATGACCAAAGCCGAAACATGTTTCTGGTCACGGTCGCTAAAACACACCCCAAGTAATTCGGACACGGCCCATGATGTGCTTTAGGGCAGTACTTCTATGTTTTTTGTCACATGCAAGATAATGTGGAAGGTTTTTTTTAGGCCTGTGTGAATAACGATCGATTAGTTTATCTACGAGATTTCCGAAAACAGGCCACACATGTAATTGTGAAGTTCTGAAACAATGCACAAGAAAATGTAAGCAACCGCAGAACAAATAGGCCTACGCAGTTTTGATGTTAGTTTTCCTAAGTTTTAAATCAAACCAAATGACAGGCCATGACGCCGAAATGAAGATTGAAGCACAATTGCGGGCCTTCCTTTTACAGGAAAATATACATCAACAAGCGATCAAGCTAAATGAGTCGTAGGTCGGTAACTTTCACTGTTTTCAGAGATTCAGGCCAATAGGCCACTTCATCACATCACCCCATCATATCTCTTGGTGTTCCGACTTCCAACATTTTTGAACTAAAGATGGTCAGCATGCGTTTTTTTTACATCAATAAGGCTGAGATCGTACGTGCTCTTTTCAAAACTGTAAGAAAAAAAATGACTAGGGTCGACAAACGACTCATTTAGCTTGATCGCAGCACTTGTCTTCAACATGTGCCTTGAAAACACTTCATATCACCATACATTCCGTATACTGTGTACTTATTACTTTATGTTTTTCACGTTGAAATTCTACATCAAATGGGTAAGTCCAAGTTCAATACACTGAATAGTAAATGTCGCACTGTGCTCCATCATTATTTATTTCTCCAAACAGTGAGCAAGCCCGCATTTATAGTTTCTACAGTATACGCGCATACCAGACATACCAAGCGAGTCAGAATGTTATCCTCGGTGCTATATACAAATCACATCGAGCAAGGGTCCATTAAAGCAATCGTGTTTGTCATTTCCACGGTGACGAGACAGGGAGCTAGACCGACTCGCCTCTAATGCAATGTGATTTATACTGGACTTAACCTGAGAATCAAACGAACGCTGGTGGATTTAATAAATAAAAATCATACTTTTTATTATCATGTGCATTCGGCAAGGATCATAATTATTTAGCAAGTTCAAAACCTCGCAATCGTTACCTCACTACTAACTAATATAAGTTGTTTTGACATCCTTTCTATAAAGTAGCCTACAAAGGCTCTATCAGCCATACAAAAAATAATTTTCAAAATTCAAATAAGTCTGGTTCCCAGACCAAACGATTCTGACTATTTCTGATGAATCTTAGGTCAGATTTCGCTCGTATCCACGCCCTGCAAACAGGACGCTGGAAAGGGCTGATGAAATGTACACTCTGATTGGATAGATTTTCATTTATTTAGTCTTTTATTCCAATTCATAAATGCTTTTGTTTTCGTTGAAAAACGTTACAATTTAGGAAAATCTGTAAAACTTATCTGTGTTGTAAATTTGCGATTCCCGTCACCCAGGCTCCGTTTGAAATTCACGAAGGGTCAATGATTGCATTATGCGACGCTCAAAATGTGTCCACATAGTCCGCAATAAAAAAGAAATCATATCCAGTATGGAATGTATGCATTTCTATGGGAAGTTTTCGGATAGCATTTGCGCGCATCGCTAACTGCGGTCTTGAACAGCTGCAGCCCTGTGAAGCTCATCAGCCCTTCCCAGCACCCAGTTTGCAGGGCAGTGGGTGCGAGCGGAAGGTCATATAGCCGTCAGTGTCACGTGACCAAAACGGGAGGCATTCCTTCCGTTTCGGAGAATGTCCGAAGTTTGCCGAATGTATTTCCGGTAAAAAAAAATAGGTTTTATTCACCCGCCATGCTTCTTTTTAAAACTTTTTTTAGTGAGTAGATAATTACTTAATATTCATTGCTTGCATTTGAAAAAAAACCTTGAAATCATATGAAGACTTTGTGCATCAAGTGTGCAGTGCACTCTGATCGTACAAGGGGCAAGCTATTGCTGCGTAATCTGTGCACGGTTTCATTGGGGTATTCCAAAAACTCGGAGCGTCGTCTCCATTTTTGGCTTCGCCTGCTTTTTGGGTGCCTGACTTTGAAGATTCCAGCTAAAAGTTAGTCAATGTGTTCTTACAGAAGTATCAAACTGTATGATAAATGAAGCAAGCGATTTTTTTTTATTTTGATCGGAAGCTCGGATCGTTAACTTAAAGCTTTTAATGATAAAGCCAAATTGCTTTGAGAAAGGGGCATATGCATGTAGTCAAATCGTTTTAATTAGTCAGGGAACCAGACAACATTCCAGTGGTCTACATTAGTGATCTAACTGAGGCAGTTAATAATGGTGTTCTTTAAACAACTAAATAATCATCAAAAGGAAGACATGGCGGCCTGCCCTTATCACAGTTACGTCAAAGGATCTTGAATTGAGAAATTCAAAAATATATTGCTTGTACTTTTTCAATCTCCAGTCTGAAGTGATCCCCCACCCCAATTCCCAATCAAGATATATTGTGTGTTGGAATTCCCGTTAATGTTTGGTCAGAAAAAGACAGACAGTAACATCTCCAGAACGAAGTTTCCAAGGGTCGTCTTCCATTTAAATAAAAGCAAACTACCAACATATTACAATATCAGCTCAGTTTGGAGGCCTCATATTTGGAAACGGTCAATTTTCACCATATAGTTGGATAACTGATTTGTCTCAATTCAACAATTCAGAGAATTATGAAGGTCACCAGTGGTTATTTTAATTACTTGATCTTTGAAAAAAAAGTAGGACAATTAAAATTTTGCCACTTTGGAAGTTTACGATCGTGTGACTGCCTTGACATACAATTGAATATGAACTCATATTAGTCAAACTCTACCATGATCCCTAAAAAGGTTTGGAATTGATAAAAAAAAATACAAAGATTTGACTTTTGTTGTTGGCAGGAAATATCACATGGAAAACGTCAAAGCAGTGGTTTTTGTTCCACTAATTGAATGCGTAATAAACATTCACCCCAATCCAACTACTCAATGAACATGGTTAATACAGATAATGATGAGAAAGATGCTTACCTTTTCTCTCCTGCGCTGAACAACTACCAAAATAGATATCCGCCGACTTGGATCTCTTCCCGAGCAAATAGTCCTCCTTGTGAACGCCAAGACGATGACGAATAAAAAAAAAACCACGGAGGACGGGGAGGTTGCAGCGCCTATTCCCAGCGCATTCTTGGCAAATCTTGAGAGTTTTGCACACGGCACTACCAGCCCGGTCTCACGGGGCCCAGCGCAATTATGCCGGCCATTTTTGGGCAAGCTTCCTCAATTGCTGAGAGTCTGCGTATGTCATTCTAGACCGATTGGGTTGCTGTACATCTGGATGAGGAGGTGTAGACTCGATTCTTGTCTGAGCTTTCGGTACGGGTTGCATGAAAAAAATCTGCCAATCATGTCACGTTATACGTGCATAATTCCTCCCAGCCTTGAAAAGAGGCTCTTCGTGTCTGAGGAATAATTCGTGGTGTATAATGGACACATAGCCCCCAGAAAACTTGACATAGGAATATGGGACTGTTTATTCCGCAGTATATGTGTTATTTCAAGTAAAGTGCAATCAAGGAAAATATTGGCAGGATATAAAGACTTGACAGTTGAAACTTAGATATTCCTGCTTAGAGCCTCCTAGGTCAACCAAGGTCATCCAAGGTCAACCAAGGTCATTCAAGGTCATTCAAGGTTACTATATTAACTTAGGTCATCGAAAGCATTCTGAATCGACTCAGCACAATTAAAATAGCACTTGATAATAGTTGAGTACCTTCAACCATCAACTGATCCGATGTCTATATTGGCCAACGATCAATTGCGTGTAATGATAAAAAGTGGATGTTCAATGACGAGAGACACATATTCTACTCCAATTTACGCAGTTGTTGTAACGATTCTCTTAGTTTTGCTGGGATGCGCTGCAACAATCACTAGTGAAATGTCAAATAAAAAAAAACATGTTAAGCGTCTCAGCCCGCTTCTTTTTTGGAGGCCGCCTTTCCCCCCTTTTTTTTAAACCGAAAACAGTGACATCATGTTGGCCTCTTTGTCTGTTGCACGTAGCCCACATAAAGCTGGTATGTCATTTCCTGAGTCCAACTGGCGGCCATTTAAATAAAAAAGCTGGCGGCCATCTTGAAAAAATAATCCGGTCGGGCGGCCATTTTGGAGGGGAAAAAGGGCCTCCTCCTTCCTTAACAGGACCCTTAACATGTTTTTTTTCAATTGGCCTCATCTATATCACTGATTAGGAAACATCGTTTTTACTGACTTTCACCGTCTACTGATTGATTGTGTATGCATTCCAACTCTTTCAGTAACTTGACATGTTTTATTGGTTTTGTTTGTGTGTGCAAATTCCTATTGTGCTTTCTCCATCTAAATAATATGCCAACCTCTTACAGAATTAAAATAAGACTCAAAATGTGCTTCATCCGCGTTGGTCTTCTCAACATATATCCTATCACATAATATTATACATCTTATTGTTTTCAGGAATTTTACATAAATGTTTTCTTTTTATATCATTTTATTATTATCATTTTATACAGGGCCCTCAGAAATAACATTTTTTTAACTGATGAGGCTACCCTGTCTTATTAAAACTATAAATAAATAAATAAATAAATACAAAAAAATCATCTTTATCGATAAATAAATGTTCTATGGAAGAACACATTTTGTGCAAGTTTCTACTCCTCTTAATTGTGTGCAAACCATTAAACATCCCATTTTTGGTTAATTTTATCAAAACAGTGCACTTCTTTCAACATTCAAAATTTTCTATGCTTTTATCCGGAACTGAGGGCGCTGTTGGTGTGATGTCATTTCAGGAAAACACTGTTCCAAACTTTTTGGGGTTTTCTGTTCAGATTGTAAACCCCAAAAATTTGCTTAGTGTAAACATTTAGGAGAAAAGTTTGCTCATTGGCTGACTGTCATTTACTGACACCACAACAAATCACTAAAGAAAAGAACATTTATACAACAAAGTATCCAAAATTCTGACAACATTTGGTGCTGAGCTAGCTGTAACATTGGGGTTTCTGCCTGAATTATGAAATAACATTACACTTTTGCTCATGATTATGGAAATTTGTGCTAGCATGAAAGCCAAAAAGGCACCAAAAAATGCTCTGGAAAATGGCAAAACAAAAATTGAAAATAAGGTTTACTGGGACAAAAATGTGAATTACCAAGGATTGCATGAAAAGAAAATTACATTTGCATGGGCCCCTTTAAAGGGAATGAACATCATTGGCTTTTGCTGTAATTTTCAGAAATGGACTATTTGAGGGGTTAGTATAATAGATCAAATATTGTTACAACGACATGTTTAAAGTTTTGTGTTCGAAAATGCTGGGAAAAAACAAGAAGTTTTTTCTTGTTTTTGTAGTCTGGTTTCCTGACTCCACTAAAGATGAAATGGATCAATGTATAGATGCCGGAAAATTGTAAGGTACTGGAACCAGTCTAGCTGGCCTGCACCCGTTCATGAATATATGTAACCAATAGCAAACAAAATTTGGACTGAAAAAAATAGTTAGGTTTTTCCAACGGTGGTCGGCCGACCACCGTTGGAAATTGATACAAAAATACCACTTTTCTTGATAATGACTTCACACCAGGTGCCATAATTTTACAGAATGCTTTAGATTGTCATTTACCAACATCCTAGTAAGGTATTTCGTAAACATTTGATAGTTCTGTTTTTCGGTATTTGCAAATGTTGTATATTCCCTTTCACATGGCATTTTGTCAACTTCAACTACTAGAAACGTTTCAACGAGTCCCTGTGGCCTAATGGAGAAGGCGTCGGTCTCCTAAACCGAAGACTGCGGGTTCGAGTCCCGCCAGGGATATGTTTTTTTTTTTATCTTAAGGTTGTTTTTTCCTTTTAATTGAGCGGCCCCAGAAGCGAACCAGAGATAGGCAGTCGTCAATAAAAACAAACCATAATATTAAAGGAAATATGCAGTGGACATTTTGTTTTCATGCACATTACTATGTGTTGCAACAAGATCTTAATACTTGTTTTCATTGGAAGTGAAAAGAAAGTGGTAGGTTTTCAATTATTAGCAAATCCTTTCATCAATACATGTAAGAGGGCGCTATTTTGCTTTTGTCACACAAGGTACTCCCTGTCAAAGTGCATATGAACAGTACAAAAATTAGTCCTTCAAAATTACCCACAAAAAAGTTTTGAACAAATATTGGCCACCACTATTGTCCAAACAAGCTGTTTAACATGATAACAAGTAAAAAGTGGAACCTACACCAGGAAAGTGAAAAAAGTTTGATATATATATTTGTACAGAAAGCTGGAGACACTACTGTTCTGCCTTGAATGACATCACGCTTTGGCTCATGAATATGGAAATTTTCATTAGCATTAAAACTAAAATGTTGAAATGTTTCCCTTTTACTGCTATAAAGGAGGTTAAAAGTCATACACGGCAAGAACGCTGTTTTAAATCTATCTAAGTCGTAAAACCCCCTTGATACAACACTCGCATTAAAAGTCTGACGACACTTTATAACAAAAATTTAAAAGACATCATTTCCCATCAAAATGCTCTTTAATTAGGCCTAAGGCCAAAAAAAAAAGTCTCCGGTTTCTGGTATGGAGCTTGCCCCAAAAGTGGTGCGGCGACGCGGCTTTTTTTTTTTTTTTACCTGGTTTTTTTTTTTTTTTTGGCTTCAAATGTCGGCTGATGACTGCAAATGGTGCCCGACTAAACTTAGTGCAAATATATGGGAGTCCAGAGAGGCCACATAAAGCTTATTCTCGACCATAACCCAATCTAAAAACACGTTAAAATTGTGCAGCAGCAGAATTTCAGTCAAACCAGTGAGTTTGGCGGTTTTGAAACATCATCTTGTATTGAAAAAAAACTTTTTCATTTTGCCGACGCGCATGGCTACGGCGACGCGCGCGCATACCAGAAACCGGAGACTTTTTTTTTTGGCCTAAGCTTTAAATACTTTAGAATTCAATGAGTTGAAATATTTCCAAACGGCCTTTTAGAATTGGAACGTGATGCCCGTTTCTCGGCGCAGTCGTTCGATCTTTTCATCAAAGGCTTCGCTTTCTGCCTTGGTGAAATAGTTCTTCCAGTCCCCGACTTGACCTGGGATTCAAAAGATGGGAATTGATCAATCGATTATCGGTAATCGATCGTGCTGGTCTTCCCAAGGAAAGAATTTCAAACCATTTGTGTATAATCTACCCAAACCATTAGATAGGATGGCGGGTTCTTCGTGCCCGTAGCCAGTATGGCGTTAGTCTATGCAGCTGTGTGGTTGCGAAGGCCTAAGCGTCCCCGTTGTTGAACAAAGTTAATCCGATTACGTACTTAAAAGCTATAACAGAGCAGTGAAATTAATGCACCCCCAAAAAACATGGCCTTTTGAACGTTGTGTTTCTCAGAAAAATATTCACAGTATGATTGAAGATCTTAAATTATAACGGAAGATGATATTCTAAGCTTCATGTCAGCGAAAACAAAAATCGCCATCATCGATGCCGAAACGTCAGTGCTGGTTCCTGGTAAAGCTGACCGTAAAGTCGGAAAGAAATCGTTCGAAAACGTCCCCAAATCCATGTATTTACCTCACTTTCTAGGAATCTCCTCAACGGTTGTTATTTCACGAGTAGTTGAACACTTATATCATCTAAGCATATCCCGAATTTCAGCTTAATATGTTGTTGCAAACGCTTGTGTTACACCTTGAGCTATCGCCAAGCAAAATTTTGACGAGGACTGTCAAGCTCAAACCAAACTGATTTTTATTAATTAATAACTCGTGAAGGAGGCTATTATGCAAATTTCCACTGCACACCAAAATGGATAGGAACCTTATTAATATTCGTGAGGCTTGAAACGATTGACAGATATTGCAAACACCAGTGTTACAACTTTTAAAAATGCACGCAGCCAGGTCTATTTTTCCAATTTCAACGAAAAGTACTGAACATATCAAAACGATTTTTAGCACACAGTTGGATCATTATAAGGAAATTATAATGGAAACAAACCCTGAAAGTCGGTTCCATGAAGATACGGTCTTCCAAGCGGGAGAAATTAATTTTCAAACATTTCGCCCGTCAGGGTGAACATGTCTGTGTGCATGTTGTTTCCTACAAAATAAAGTATTACGTAACCTTTAAAAAAAATCGCAGCAACAGCAACCGTTTGTGATAGTTATGCATGCAGATTCGGCGAGTTAAGCATAACACGACTGCGTCTTGACCTCCAGATTCTGACCATTCAGCGGGTCCCTTCTATCGGGTCTTCGGTAACCCATCAAACCATGGCAGCCAATAATATCCAATCAATGGCCTAGGCCGAATTGCTGCTCGAAATAACGTCACAGTTTCAAAAGTCGACTCCGATTGACTTGCGCGCAGAGTCGCACATATTAAATTTCTACGCTCACATAATCGGACGTGGTTGCGGAGCTTGCGGGCTCCGTTGAACAACGGATGGTACTCAGACTAGTGTGTGAGAGAGTTGTGGGCAATTGGTATACGACCAATGCAGCACCTGCTAAAAAGCTAAATCTGCGTAAAAGACTTGCACTTTACATATGGACTATAATAAAAGTACTTAGAAATGCATTTTTTTTAGTTTGACTGTTTGAAAAAGGCCGCGTCCGAATTACTTGGCTATATACGGCTGGATATCATCACACGGGCTGATGTCGCTCCCATAGGCGCGTGTGTAATTGAGGGTGTTTCTTTCGACCTCCCCGACCAAATGCGAGATTTATAGTTGGTTGATTAAGGATGTTTGTGTATAACTGGATCATACTTCGGGATGAAGGTTGGCTTCTTGAAGTTAACCTCAATTCAAGACGTCGCACCTGCTATAGCGTCATTATGAGAGCAAGTGCCAAACCATGTTTGTCTTACTGTACATACCCTTGCGGTAGTGTCCTTCAGTGTGCGTATTGACTGCCCGCTCCTTCATGCTTTCAAATGAAGTAGCTTCGACCACGTGACCTACTTGTTCGTCAGTAAGAGTCACTTCAAGGAAGTCTGCAATCTGCCGCACGGCAGACGGATGATCCTGTCATGGCAGTAGAGTCATGGAGAGTTAATGAGAGGCTTGGGATGCCCCTTAATACATGGACCCCGCCAATGCGTCTCAACCAAAGCCCAAAACAACAACGACAAAATACGCGTCGGGTGTTGCCCGGACGGTGCCCCTAACCACGTGGGCAAAAAACTTTGAAAACTTACATTCACCAGCAAACGTGTTACAAATTCATGACATGTTAGTGCGGTAACTATAGAAAGCTATAGTTACCAGGGTATGTTGCTGAGCTGAGAAGGAAGATATAATCGACCCTGGAACTAGGATGTGCAAGCCTAGCTTTGCAGTGCACACGTGTTTGCGTTTCTTCTCGAAATGTGTTCAAATAAATAAATTGGTTGAACCAAGTTAGTAAGCACCTTTTGTACCTGTTTCATGTTTTCGTACGTCAAAATGAGGAAGTTAATTTCACTTCGATGAGCCCAGTATCCCTGTACGTGAGCCCACCACGATCCTCCTGGGTCTATAATGTAAAAAAGGGAGAGAACTCAAAGAGTTAAAAGTCGAAGTGAGGTTTCTTCTATCACGCGATTGGGCACAGTGTCGCCGAAATATGCCAGATACCGTGCAAAACCACCACCGCACTTTGGCTGTTAGTCAGAACTAAAACAACAACGAAAACAACAACGAAAACAACAACGAAAACAACAACAACAACAACAACGACAACAACAACAACAACACCAACAACACCAACAACACCAACACCACCACCAACAACAAAGCCAACGACAACAGCTACAACAATGATTGTTGTCAGTAGTAATACACACATTTTTCATCATCAATAATACCTCTAAACTCCACAAAGTGCCGCTTGAGGACGAGTGTCGTGTGTCAAAGTGCATATAATACATGTATAAGTTTAATTTGTATAAATTATAATCAAGTCAATCACAATCACAAGTCAATTCCCAAATCAAGTCACAAGTAAAAGGGGGTTAATAATGACAGAGGAATGTCTTTGTCACAGTTCATTTGAATAGCTTGCGACTCAAATTGAGATGGGCCTTGACTTGTGATTGATTGTGATTGACTGTGATTGATTGTGATTGACTTGTGATTGACTTGTGATTGACTTGTGATTGACTTGTGATTGACTTGTGACTTGTGATTGATTTAGATTTTTCTTCTGATTGACTTGATTACAACTCTGGAATCATGGTGTGAAGCGCCCTCTATAGAGTCATGCAGTGATGGGATTGGTTACATTTTGTTATTATAAGACCATAATGCGTACAATGTCCATCCAGGTGACATTGGAAAAGCGTCTTCCAATCAACGCGTTGCCCCTGAAACTGGGGAGCAGATGTATATGTGTAGAATGACACCAAAGTATCTTTCGGGTTACGCATGACGTATATCACCTGTAAATATAAATAAAAAGAGAAAAACAGTATAGTGCTTTACAGTCATACATTATTCTTCATGAACGTTTGTTCGTCAAATCCATTTTTTGTAAAAAAAAAAAATAAGAATGAGTTTGCAGCATGTGACATGAAATATCTTTTGTGACTGTGTGGTTCTGAAAAGTTTATATTTCTAAACAATAACTACCATCATCACTATAACAACTTTGATAGAAGTGGCCCTTGCGAGCATGCCTTCGGTCATTTGAAATCCACGTACGTCAAACAAAGATTTTAAGTTCAGGTTAGATCACAGTTAAAATCTGCTGCAGAGGATTTATGAGAAGACCAACCTTTGCTTTCTTAGCGAATATCTGATGGGGAAGACGGTCTACTCGCAAATGAGTGGTAAGGATGCGAGGCGATTGCCACTTGTCAGCTACCCGATGATGCAGTCGAGCACTCGCAGACACGTCAGGAGGCGAATGGAGGGGGAAGTTATACTCTAGAGGAATACCAAGTCCTGCCTTATTTGCCTCAGCAATCGGAGAATCTCCAAAACCCAGCACGCGGGAAATTATTTCGGCACACCACTTCGTACCTGCATGTTTTGCGAGTATAATTATGAAAGTGACGATGTTCCTAAAGTTGTAACTAAAGTGTGTGGAAACAAATTGCAAACAGTCAAGGATGATATTTATTGATATTTTATTAGTTAGGGAACACGCATAGGGAACACGGACCGGGGGCGGCAACGGGGGCCATGCCCCCCCCAAAAAAAACCCCTTTTTTAAGTGACGTCGCAATAAAGGCAGGCACTGCGTATACCACCAATTATGGTACCAATGATATAACTTTTAAAACGAATTTGCGGTGACATTCTTTTTGATACCTATGTTGCAGTGTTGTAGTTGAGTCACCAAAGTCGAGTCCAAGTCCGAGTCTCAAGTCACAAGCCTCGAGTCCGAGTCTCGAGTTACAAGCCTCGAGTCCAAGTCCGAGTCTCGAGTAACAAGCCTCGAGTCCGAGTCCGAATCTCGAGATACAAGGCTTGAGTCCGAGTCCGAGTCACAAGCCTCGAGTCCGAGTCTGAGTCACGAGATACAAGCCTCGAGTCCGAGTCTCCGAGTTACTAGCCTCGAGTCCGATTCCGAGTCACGAGTCACAAGCCTCGAGTCCGAATCTGTGTCTCGAGTTACAAGCCTCGAGTCCGAGTCTGAGTCTCGAGTCACAAGCCTCGAGTCCGAGTCTGAGTCACGAGTCACAAGCTTCCAGTCAAAAAATCCGAGTCATTTTCCAATGTGACTCGAGTCGAGTTCGAGTCACGAAAAATGTGACTCGAGTCCCACTCGAGTCCTTGACTCGAGTCCTACAACACTGCTATGTTGTGTCCGAGTTCTCTCCCATTAACTATATTATAACTCAATCAAGCCTACCTGCTTTAGGAAATGCAGCTAGCCAGACATCGTCTTTTCGAACCGTCATTTCTTTGATGTCCTTCAAGAGAGCTGTACTGATGCAGCGCGCAGAAATCGTGCCGTCCACGACGGCCATCCACGAATTGGCACGATTGGTGAGAAAATGATCTGCCGGGGTTTCATCCGTGTACCAACAAATGTCGTCTCCAGAGTCCGTTTGGTGGCTCATTTTGTCACGATCTGTACCCGAAAAAATATGTATGAAAACACTCTGTTGAGTCAAGACTCTTAATACGAATTCTTACATGAACTGTGGTCTATTTTAACTGAATATCTGCGTGAATACATATACAAACATTACAGAGTGGCATGGTCAAAATCTCTGCTGGCAGTTAAATTTGATGGTCTCACAAACGAATCAAAGTGGTGGCAATAAAAATATTTATCAGGCGCTGGGTGACCTTATTCGACCTTAAAGGACGTCGTAAAAAACATCCGGCTGGTGTATACCCGCATTAAACACAAACTTACATCAACTATAGCGCGATATGTATTACATTATTACGTGCCCTATATACACTCCACAAACTGAAGGGTTGAATCCAACATGAGTTTGGTCAGTGTCAGGCTGAACGTATTGAATCCAGCATTTTAAATACTGAACCCAGCATTTTAAATGTTAAAGCCCACGCTGACACTGTTAATTCAAGAATTTAAGTGTTCAAGTTTATTCAACATTTTCCAAAGCTAACACTTTGAAAGTGTTGAGTCAACTGAACATGATCAATTTAAAATGTTGAATTATAGTTTAAGCGTTGAAAGTATTAAAATGCTGGATTTAACACTTTCAACTTATGGTCACTGACCGAACTCATAAGTGTTTGATATTGTTATGAAATCCCAAAGCAATCCACCAATTACGCGATTGCTGCGTTCCGGAAAATTGCATTCTCATTAATGTTTGCAACGTTCTTATTTCGAAAACTGAGTGGAAAAAAACCAAATCAATTTTCCACTCCTGGGCCAGTGATGTTTATCTTTTCAGGCTCTCTAAAACTGTATGCCATGCAGTTTCAGTGGGTACAGAATTTGGAAGTTAAATTTCATGCCCCGTGCTCTTTTTTTTTTTTAAAAGGTTTTTTTTCATCTAACTAAATTTCAATTTGTTTGAATTGAAAAAAAAAAACACCAAACGTTTATTCCAATATTTGGCGTCTTCAACCACTAAAACTCGGCTTCCATTTGTGACAGCCGAATTATTATCTGGCAGCCAATAATTCCAATTTTAGAAGAAGAATTCAGAAACTGAACGGCGGTGGATTTTTTTCGTTCATTGTCTCATTCAAAAGTAACTAACTTTTATATTGTTCGGGAAAATATTGAAGTTGGAAAAAAAAAACATTTTCGAGGTGCCTCTCTAAAATAGCACGGGGGAACGTATATGCGCAGAATACTAGAAATGGTGTTACCTCTCATCATGCATTGAAAGGTATACCTTTGAAAAAACATTGAAATACAGGGAACAGGGTGAGTCAAAAAGCGGAACCCAAACCCCCAAAATTATATTTCGTATTTAATGACTGGAAAGCCAATTTCATAAGCTACTTTTAGATGAAAAAAAAATTAACTGAAATTGCTCAATCCGTTCAAAGAATATCACCATTTAAACAAACCTCTTTCGTTCAAAAATGCGGCGATTTCAAGAATCGTCGTCACAATTGTCTTCAAATATCACCAATGAAAAGTTCAAAATATTAAAAAAAAATTAAGTCCAAGTTGAAGGCCCGTCTTAAAATAGTGGATTTTATAAATCATAATGTTTTCAACCAGGGTTGTTAATAAAGATATACAGTTGTTGACAATTGTTGAAACAAGTATTCTGTGTCATTTTCTTTGTTGTTCCTAACATTCAGAATGTACAATAAATTGTTGGGTTTTTTTTGGACGAATCAGGTTTTAGGGTCATTTCGCGGTCATTTTAGATAGAGGGGGGTGGTAAAGTCCCATGTCAAAATATGAAGACGCCCATCTGGGTAATGGTTAACACCATCAATACAAGACTTTTAACACCAAAACTAATGCTGTATCTCTTAAATAACCCCCACCCCTTGAAATTCAAAATTAACCCCAAAATGGCGTTTTTTTCTGGCTATTTGAGTATTCTGCTGTTCATACCCTGACTAGCCATGTTGTAGTTATGATGAATAAAGACTTATTTTTTCAAATTGGAAACATTCAGGCACAATAGCGTATGGAAAGAACTCAGAAAGATCCTTAGCTTGAGGTGCTGCCTTGAAATTTTAACCCCTGAAAGAGGCAACAGGAGCATAACAAGGGCATTTACATGTATATTGGGGGGGGGGGGGGTAACAATGTCTTGAAAAGGGCACTTGCACATCCAGCCTGAAATGTATATACAGACACATTTTTTTCTCTCAGTACACTTGGCCTCTGTAAAAACAAATTGAGGGGGGGGGGTGGGTTACCATCTGTCGATGGGGGTGCTGTTCTAACCGAAAATTATGCGCACTAGTATAACGGATGAATAGTGCTTTTGCAGGGCGACACATGCATAAAAGTCTTACGAAGGCGTCCCCATACAGCCGATTGCACAATGGCATGACGTTTTGTAAAGTTACAACTGATAACGAGCAGAACTTATAATAAGCCGAGCCCCCCCCCCCTCAACAAAAATTGTATAGTGGGTGGGGGATATCATATGTCCCCCCTACATGGTACTTTTTTCGTCCCTGCATGAAAATTGTAGCCAAATTAAGCTCACAAAGGCTGATTCAATGACTTCAAACTCGAACAACTAATGTTTAAGACGATCTTTTGCTCACACAAATTTGTTTAAATTGTCAAAAATTGCCTAAGATCGCAACACAGATCGTCTAGAATTCAAAAAGTTTCCCGGACCCCACACCATTAGGGCTTTGCGCTTTGCAATCGCATTCTGATCAAGCTTCCATGTCCCCCCACTTTTGAAAAGTGATTGACCCCCTTGGTGAGACATGGGAGGTGGATTTCAAAGCAGGTCTTTTGCTATTTTTTGAAACATTCTTTATAAACATTCCTGTATTATTCGTGATTGCACTGATAAATAAGTTAGCTGATTCAAAGGATATTTATGGAATTACTATGCCATCTTCAAGATGAAAAGACGGACGTGGATGGACATTCTTGAATCATACTACTTTCATTCTTATGATTAATCTAGCTCTTGTTCTATTATTCAATGTAGAATTGGTATCATTCAACACTAAAGCAACCTATTTTATTGAAGTCTTGAAGATGTACATCCCTGTAGTTTAAAAACACCTACCGGTAGAGGTTTAATGTAAGATTGGCCAGTGGCAATCCCTCATTGGATAGCTTTACTTTAGGAACAAATCTGGGATAATTCATGTATTTCATTTACTGCTTCCCAACACTTAAAAATGAAATGTCTGTCCATGTTATGAACGTTAAATCTTGAAGATAGTCCTCTGTAATTTCTGGAATCCTGAGAAATACATCAAACTTGTTGGTGGACAATGTTCTTGCTAGGACATGGGATGTAGAAAGAGGGGGAAAAACATAACAGAGTGCTTCATGTATCGACTTCTGTCTATGGTTCCCTCTATAATGTCATACTTTTGTTACCGTTTGTGTGGAAAGACCCCTTGGCCTATATCAGTTTTATACAATCATTTACATGTATATCTACATGTATGCCCTGGCTGTCTGTGATATTTAGTGATATTAGTGCATTAAGAATGTTCTTAATATATTAAATTGTCAGTTATGTGCTCATCTATGAAAGCCTTACTGAAATCAGTGGTGTGTTCAATATGTCAAAGCGATTAAAATGGGGGAAAAAAGGCATTCATTTCGCAATAATACCCACTGTTCACTGTGCGTATATACAGTGCAGATTTAGTTTTTTTGGGTGGGGTGGGGGGTTTATTTCATGCTAGATACCCACTTCCTATACAAAATATCCCTCAAATGACCCAATGCATCACCTCTAAAGTGGGCGCAATCATATTCCAAAATTGTGATTTTCATCCCAATTATCACCCCCCTCTATTTTAGAGTCATTATATTTGGTGTTACATTATGTTTTCAAATATGAAATATATTTTTTTTGGGGGGGGGGGTGGGTTCCGCTTTTTTGACTCACCCTGTATAACTAAGAAACTTTATTGAATAAATAATTGACGTTGCATATATGCTTTTTTTTCAATGATGTCGTAATATGCCTATATAAACACCCAAACCCGCATAATGTATAATCAATCAACAATGTCGAAAACTCTTCCTGTCATAAAAATATCCTTTAACCTGCATACTGAGGAAAATAAACACTCGAAGTAAAACAACTTGTCATTTCGTGGATTTAGTACTTTAATAAAAAAAACCTTGGTAAAACAATAACATTATTGCAGGCGGTGGTTAATATATACGGGCTTTTTTCATTGTAACTTGCCATTTTATATCATAACCAGCAGTGGCGGAACGCTTTTCAAACTGCAGGGGTCATCACCAGAAAGGGGCTCTGCTCAGGAAAAAAAGGCACCTTCCGTCGGTGTGAAGAGGAGAAAATTGTGAAAATATTTTCGTTCACATTGCAAGGAATACATGTTACCCAGAACAAAATTCACTAACAACATTGATTTACTCTTTTTAAAAAGGTGTGCATTAGAAAAACTGAAAAATCTTAATCCCTTAATAAAAAAAATCAGTGTAGGCCTATTCCTGAAAAAGCCTCTCAATATATAGCCGTGTTGTTCTCAAATGTTTCGCTTGAGAGAGCCCTTCGGCCTCCGGCACACCCCATGCACCCCCATGCACCCCGGCAGCAATAGCTCTCTGGGTCCGCCCTTGAATTTGACTAATTAGGCCTATTATGCAAAGGGGCCATTTTCTTATCGTGAGAGGGGCGCGCGAGCGGGACTGTTGCTTTTGATGGCCAGTTCAGTATTGTTGCCTGTACGTGGTCTCAAAAGTGGGTGGGCGTATATACGCCTCCAGTATGCGAGAAGATAATGATTTATCAGAATTGATCAACTTTAAAGAAATTCTTCATAACTGTTAATGTGGGAGTTTCCAAACACTCGGCCAAATTTGTTCCCGATTTTCGGATGCCACCGTTTTTTTTCAATTTCGGACTTAAATATTTTCATCATTAAGATAATCAGTGGCGTAAACCTGTGCCGACGAGGGGGGCCCGGGGGGGGGGGGGGGGCTGACACAACAATAAAAATTACATTAGGGGCGCTCTTCAGGTTACAGATGTACCGGTATATCGATATGTATATACTGGCATCAAATAGACGCATTTTAAAACATTTTGTTCTTCGTTTTACATTTTTCAGTGCTAATGAATATATTTTAGTCGTTGGGATCATCATGTTGAAAAATTAATTAAAAATCAACCTTTTTTTTCATCACGAAAAAGTGGGGGATGATTCAACAGCCCATCCCCCGGTCAAAAAGTGTGGGGGGGGGGATTTACGCCCCTGAAGATAATGGTAGTGAGAGTACCAGAATGACTTTTAAGTCGGTGGAAACGTCGAAGTGCGCCACATTAGGGAACTTTTTTACATGCCATCGATCTTGAGAGGCTGAATGTTGCCGCGAGCGGGGCACTTATTGTGCTTGAGGGGCAGTTTTCCATCTCGATAAGTTATCGCGGGAGCACGTTATTGATGGCCAATTTGAGTTCGAAAATGGCACAATTTTATAAATGCGAGAGGGGTATTTGTGCTTTATAGAGGGATAGTTTCCACCCTCGAGAAGGTTCACAATCTTCAAGTTAATAAAAAAAGCACCGCCGGTGACACGTGAGGGGTATTTAATTGTTTTTGAGAGGCACTTTAAATTTGCATTACAAGAGAGGGGACAACGGTATAGAACGATCATAAATGCTTTCATGTGGGCGTTTGAGGGGCAGTTTTGTTTTCATCTCGATGGGACACATTTATGACCGCGATAGGGGAACTTTTTTAAGCCTGTGAAAATCTGGGGGAAGTCCCCCTCCCCGGCGCCCTGCCCCCGCCCCCGGTTCCACCGCCCAAACTTAATTATCACAGTTACATATCCATCTTCAAAATATTGTTTTATTTCTTGCTATCAGGCACCTTAGATATGTGCCTGTGGCTGACGATTTCCATTAAAAGAAAAACAAAAGAAAGACCGTTGACACTCCCCCCCCGTACTAAGCAACGCCCATGCGTGGTAAAACAAAATGGTTGGAAATTGTCTGGTATCCCAAACTGCAATCGCGCAGCTAATTGTGTACACCGTACAGCTTACAAATTGGTCTGGTAACATTGAAGGGAACGGAACGTCATTTTGTTGATGAAGGCATGCGTGAAATTACTCACAAATTAAACGACCATTTTAAGTCAGATTTTGGCTGGAGTCACATAATATATTGCGGTTGTTGGTACCTTGTAAAACATACACTTTCTTAAATGGATTGGGTGATTTTTTGTGTTCTCTCTGCGACATTTTCACCGGTAAGTTAACACAAAACACGTCGCTCAACGGGAACCGTTCAATCAAGGCAGTGGATATTTTGCCGGAGACGGCAAACCTTTAGTAAACGTTAGTTTGCCGGATATGCACTGAACATGCGCAGTTACTGTTTTTTTGTACTTACACATTTTCCGGTGACAAATTTTAGTCTGGCTCCATGCCAATATTATCGTTGTAACCTCGTATTCACAAGCATGACAAGATGTAGCCCGACTGCGTCTGGCCGTACAGTACTATCGCAAGCTCTGTAGCCCGACTGCGTCTGGCCGTACAGTACTATCGCAAGCTCTGTAGTACGGCCAGACGCCCGATGCTTCCACAGAGACTGAATTTTGTTGGCCGCCGATGTAGCGATTTTGCTACATCTTTCGATCCCGATTATCTTTTCATCCAGGACACAAATTTCCAAAGTTAAGATTCGTAGTCGTAGAGCAACTCATACCTTTTCGAAAAAACGTTGTTTGGTCTCAATATTTTCATCCATCTGGCCGCAAGACGAATTCCAGTCATCAGATTCCACAAATATCGTCCCCCATGCGATCCCCCATGCGATTTCAAAATGGCGGCCGCGCTGTAATGTATGCAATATGCAGGCGCGCCCGCGCAAACTCATGAATATGCATAAACAGTCTGTGTCGTATGGCCTCGTGTTTTTGGACGTGCGTGCGGCGGGGCCGTACTTCCAAAAACACGAGGTCATACGTCACAGACTGTTTATGCATATTCATGAGTTTGCGCGGGCGCGCCTGCATATTGCAACATTACAGCGCGGCCGCCATTTTGAAATCGCATGGGGGATCGCATGGGGGACGATATTTGTGGAATCTGATGACTGGAATTCGTCTTGTGGCCAGATGGATGAAAATATTGAGACCAAACAACGTTTTTTCGAAAAGGTATGAGTTGCTCTACGACTACGAACCTTAACTTTGGAAATTTGTGTCCTGGATGAAAAGATAATCGGGATCGAAAGATGTAGCAAAATCGCTACATCGGCGGCCAACAAAATTCAGTCTCTGTGGAAGCATCGGGCGTCTGGCCGTACTACAGAGCTTGCGATAGTACTGTACGGCCAGACGCAGTCGGGCTAGACAAGATGGGATTCAGACCATTTTATAATTTCGGACTTTATTTCCCTTTTAAAAAAAATTCCTCCAGAGCCACAAATCTGAAAAAGAAAATGTAATACTCTGCAATAACATGTTTGAGACATGTTAAAATGATAAAAGAAGAATATTCTTATTTATTTGGGGACGGGAAAAAAAAACTTAAAAATGTGGCGGGGATCGGGATCGAACCCGAGTCATTCCGCTCACTAGAGCTTTTGCTTAACCACTACACCAAATGTGCTACACAACTTTTGGTGGGAATTTAATACATCTTATAATTCAGCCCTATCTTAAAGAGTACAGCGCCCTCTGTTGATATGGATTGCCGCCGGCAAACCTTTAGTAAACGTTAGTTTGCCGTCATTACCTCCAGCAAAATATCCACTATCTTCAATCAACGCCAACGGACGGTTGGTTCGCTCATCATATGACTAGGTTCGCTCGGTTTCAGGTCAACTCCGGTCCGTGACTAACTCGGCCCGAGTCCGACTCGGTCCTTGAACAACTCGGTCCGTGACAGAGATGGTGTGTTAGAATCCCTTTTCCCTCCTTTTGGAAAGAATTGTTGCAACCTTCATGTATCATCTCAATGAAGGTCAGTCATTGCAAAAATGATGATAAGAGTAGTACTAGTAGACATATGAATCTGGAACTGAAAAACATTTCCAATTTCGTTAGGAAATACTTTTTAAGAATCTCTATAGACTTAAATTTGTACACAACTGCTGAAGTACCGTAAGGTTGCAACATTCTCTCTGCCCCTTTTTTTCTTTTAATTTTGTCTTTAGGTCAGTCGTACAAGCGCCCGGTCACTGGGTCGATCACACTTATGTATATCTGGGTAACCACACTAAGTTATACCAAAAATACATAGGCCTAGGCCTAATCATGATTTTCTACACAACCAATTAACACGATTAAAGGGGCACTGTATCTTGAAATCCACGAAATGTTTACGTTTTGGATTGTTTACTTATCCTATTTCAAACATCTGGTTGAAAGGAAACCAACCTAATGTCTAATTACCGTTCCCGAGAAAAGACACACTCAAAAAAAAAAAAAAAAAACAGTTATTTACATCGGATAAGACAGAGTACACATACGCTTTATTTTCCTGTTGTTTCAGTCAATGTACAACACACGCTGTCATGGCTGTGTATGTCACATAAAATTACACACATCACCAATGCGCAAATGTAGTTTCTTACTTTGTTCTTACACATCTGCAAAAGGCAAACTCTTTATGGCTGGAATAACAGCTAGCACGAACAGCCCGTCTTTTTGGGGTCTTAAAAGTGGACCCCGAAAGTCATTCTCGCACGCATAGGTCTAACACAAGAAAAGAAAAAGAAAACCTAGTTTTTAAAGGATAGTTGTGTGGATGTTTACATGTAGGCCTGTAGCCTAATTTTAAATTTTCTTTCTGATTAACAGCATTTCGTTCAAAGCGTGTTTTGTAGCCCAATTGGGTTCATTCCTGGACGCAGTGTCTCTTTGAAGTGCCATCTGAAATCGTTTTTCAAAGGCATATTGATAATTGCAAACACCTTTTTTTTGTAGGTATTTGCCAATTATGGCATCTTGTCGGCAAGAATCGCTTCTGATGGCAATACGCAAACCAAGGAATACTGCATAACGTATGACCAAGAGGCGACTCTACCTAAGACATTGAAGGATGAGGTAACAACTTCAGCTCTTTATGAGGGTCTTTTGTTTTCCTTAACACTAACGTTCCCTGAATCCATCAAAATCCACAACCCTGTTTTGGAGGATTTCGGCGGATTCAGGATGCCTCCATTTTGAAACAGTTGAGAGAATTTGATGGATTCAGGATACCTCCATATTGAGCAGTTGGGGGACTTTCATGGGTTCAGGATCTCAACAGTTTAAATCCTGGGTTATATGTTTGGTGTGTACGAAGTATATGTACTACACTGGTGGATTCTGATGGACTAACTGGTGGATTGTGATGGACTAACTGGTGGATTATGATGGACTCAGGACACCCAAAAAAAATTGTGCACGACAAAATTGGTGGATTTTGGTGGTTTCAGGATACTTGCCAGTAAAAGTGCGCAAGGGGTTATATTATTATTAGGGTTAAAAAAAATGCTTACATGTACATGTTTTCACTTCTTTTATCACTTTTACCTGAAAGTCCTCGTACATACACCTCACCAACCGCCCAGCCTGTTACTCCATGTAATGCCCGAAACTACCCGAGCAGTGTACGCTTTTGGGCAATTCCACCGTCACTCACGTTACCTTTACATGCCATGAGGCTACTCTGACCTCTCGCTGCTTCAGAAGTATTTGATCAAGCTGAATCAAACCAGCCATACAACAACCTTGGGGTAAGGGGTACTCAAAAATGGAAAGAAAAAATCAATCCGTTCATTCAGTTTTTGAGAATGTGTGTTTTGTTGGTCGTCACTCATGTTAACTACAAAAAAAAAGGACAAGGAAAATTGTCCTGCAATTTTGTTGTTACCGTCTCATGGTACTGCTAAGCACACAATTTCCTTCTAATAGAGCCTCCGTCTATTTCATCTAGAGAGCAGTACTCAGCAAAAACATGCTTCACCCCACAGGAAAATTTAGCTTAAATCAGTGACTTAACAATAGAAAACTCCATAGTGTTTAACCCCCTATAGATGGTGATTTACTAGGAACCTTCCTCACCCTTGCAGTGGTAAACTGTACACATGAACAGTTGGACTCTGTTTATTTGTGGTGTGCCCAACCTTAGGATGTGGCGTCTACACGTTTACACGTAAACCGAAAAAAAACACCTTAAAACCGTGTACACAATTTTACAAAACGTTTAAACGAAACCCAAATTACAAAAAGGGGCATACGTTCAAGCGAACTTCCTTTCAGTTTAACATCCAAAGCACAAGTAACTAACAAAGTTTTCAAATCTGTTAAATAAATAAAACCTTGCAAGCACCGCAGTACTTATTACATTAGATGTACACGTTGTTAAGTTTTTACTTTTTCAGTGACTGCCCGCTATTTGGTATGTCAATCATTGTTGATTTATCATGTCAATGAGTTACGTTGATCTGCCGACATACATTGTAATGGGCAGGCGTCAGCCTTTGTGAAATTGCTAAACGTTTAAATGGTTCCTAACATGTTTGCTAAAATTTAATAAAATTAAACACAAAGTCACAACCTTAGCCCAACCCCATGTAAAGCATTTTAGTGCAGTACTACTCATCCTAGCCCCATAAATGTGGCCAATTTACTGGACTACCTCTGTAAATAAAGGCCACACTTCCACCATGTACAAAAATATGTCGAACTTTGTCAAATTTTGATTTTCACATTTAGGCTTAGTTTGTAGTTTATTTTTGCTCTAGAAGCATACTCGCCCTGTTTATAGGCTAATCAGAAAGTGCTGCCTTTTTCAGATGTCTAATTTTTTCGTGAAATTTCCAGATTCGTTTGCACACGTTTGCGTATCAAAATTTCAACATGAAATTTCACGACAATTAGACATCTGAAAAAGGCAGCACCTTCTGATTAGCCTATTAAGAGGGTGAGTATGCTTCTAGATCAAAAATAAACTACAAACTAAGCCAAAAATCAAAATTGACAAAGTTCGACATGTTTTTGTACATGGTGGAAGTGTGGCCTTTATTTACGGGGGTAGTCCAGTAAATTGGCCACATATATGGGGCTATACTCATCCTAACAGATTCCAGCAAACTCTGGTGTTGAGTTTTGCACAATTTTCTGCTGTTAGTAAGTAAGCAGAACTTTTCTGCTAACTGTCAGTGTTGAGCAGCGCCATGAAATCGAACCAAGGTGCCTGGATACAAACCACATGGACCTCTTCACTGATAGGTTGGAAATGTACAGTGAAGATACATGTGTTTGTTACAGTGCATTGTTGGACAGTTTGCAATGCGGATTGGATTTTGCACAAGTGCACTGTTTCCCACAATGCACTTCATCACAGACCTATTTGTGGCACCTATCCACAAAGAAAGGTTCTATGGAGAAAGGAACTGTGTTCCGTGGATTGATCACAGCAAGAATTCAAATGACATCTGTTTACATTTTTTTTTGCAGGACTATCACCCTTTGGTAGACTTGAGCCCGTCCACGCTATGCTTGAGTCCAGACGATCCAGCCAAGCTCAGTGGCGCTGTAGTGGAGGCTCTGAGGGGAAACTGTACATTTCTTCAGAAGGGACTTGTAGCTCAAGAGGCAGGGGCAACTTCACTTCTTGTCGTCAGTGCTGCCAAAATAGTAAGCACTCTTTAAACTTAGACAGTGTTGATGGTCTAGAAATCTCTTTGATTTTTTCTTTAGTTGATATCAAATTTCTTATTTTGCAAAAACCTACAAAACTGTATAGGCTCCATCTGTACGTCTGCACAGAAATTGTAATACCTTGAAATAACTCGGAATTCTGTGTCGTACTGTAAATGCTAAATGTTCTGTAATTCTGTGTGTGTCAGTTCAATAAAGAGTCGTGTAATTCAACACAATTTGTGTTCTTATACAATCTACCTTGAAAAAAATTCTTCTGCCAAAATGGTAGAAATAGAAAATCCGCTCGGCGTAGTACAGGGTGAGTCAGAATGATTTGGACCTAAATTAAAGAAAATATTAAAAATATGTAGCAATTATCAAAACAAGTGCAAATGAGATATGTTTAAGATATATTGACACATGACATAATTGGTGAAAGATTCATGTATTCATTGTACCATTTTGAAGAAAAGCCCTAGCAAAAAACACACGCTAAAAAACACTCTGACCTTGGTTCTGTGGTTCAACAAGTTTATTGAAATCACGTACTGATGTGAATCAGTGTAATAACAACTAAAAACCTAGTCATGGTGACTGACTCACTTGAAGTCATTGACACATTTAGAAAAGGCAAAACCAATTCCGTGTGCAGACTGGAAAATGAGCCACTTCAATGAAAATGGCATAATTCCTCACCACAGCCACTAATTTGAAAAATTAAAAATCCTGGGAAAGACAAGGTAATAACCATTCATATGAAACACTCAGTTTTGTTCTAAAAATACTCCACATGTATTTGCCACCCAAAAAAAGGGGGAACTTGGGTCCAGATCAATCTGACTCACCTTGTACATGTAAATCAAAGTGAATATTAGATTTAGATGGTTTTGTTTTAATGCCAATCAACTTACTTCTGACCCTATACGCTGCATGTATCTCAGCAGAGGGTGTTCTTTGATATTTAATGCAGTAACTATGAATGCACAAACAGTTCGCTTGTGCCTATCCAACCCATAGACGCTTAATAAAACCTAGACACGACATTTGCTATTGCGCCTGTGAGCAAAATGCTGCGCGTATTACGCGAATGCTCTTCATGGGCATGACACGTCGCACAAGAGAGTGGTCTCACCGACTGCATTATTTGAAATCTTTTGGTCCCGTACGCCCGCGGGAAAAAAATTTAAGTGGTGCACAAGTGCATTGGCGCTGGCCTGAACATTCGTGGAATACGTATGAAGTATGCGCGTAAATCGAAGCATGACATTTGCACATAGCGTAATTAAGCGGCGTGACGCAGCTCGTTTTGCTCACAGAATTTACAACATAAAAGCAGTTAATGTCGTGTCTAGGTTTTATTACATGTCTATGATCCAACCGATACAAAAAAACAGCTGTCCTCTCTAGCTCCGCCTTAACGCACGTGGTCTATTCTGGATGTTCTGACTACTGTCATTATTCTCATTGCAACTTGCAGTCTACTCCAGATGTCAATCAGTCCGAGGAGCTGAAAATCCCCGTATCTCTGATCTCCTCCAGTGACCACAAAGATATCTGGGTAAATATTTCTGTAGAAATCCAGCGGTCTGAGGTTCACGCTCCAATAGACCTAAGACCAACATGTAATGACGTCACGCTTTGTTTACTTGTGCGCTTTCCTGTGAGAGCCAGGTGGGACGCATCCCACCTGGCTCTCATAGGAAAGCGCACATGTAAACAAAGCGTGATATCATTAGGTCTTGGGTCTATTAAATCCAGTTGTCTGTGCGCATTCAAATTGAGCACTGGTGTAGAAGTTCAATGGCCTGTGCTCTGATTGCATTCCTTTCATGTGCTCATTTTCAATGTAACTGTTACGATACCTCAGTTGGTTTGACCACTGGAATCATTGTCTAGAGGTCTGTGGTTCTTGCTCCAATTGAATCCAATTGTTTGTGCGCATTCAAATTGAGCACTGGTATCGAAGTTCAGTGGCCTGTGTTCTGATTGCATTCATTTCATGTGCTCAATCAAATGTAACTGTTACGATGTATAAATCTAAGTTGGTTTGAGCACCGGAATCATTGTCTAGAGGTCTGTGGTTCATGTTCCAGTAGAATCCTACATGTATTTCCTGTGCCAAATCACATGTATGTCTTACGATAGATGGTTGAGCACTGGAACTATAGTCAGGTGGTTTGTGGTTCATGCTCTGGTTAAACGCTGAAATTGTGATCTACATGTAGGTGTCTACAGTTCATGTCTCTCTCTAATCATTGCGGGGCCTGCATCATTGCATTCAATTGTGAGTTGCATTGCCCACTGAAAATCTTGCTAAGTGTCAACTTTTAGTTTTGGGGTTTCAGGAGCTTCAGCGCTTGCGCTCTCGTTATTTCTTACACAGTGTTCCCAAGTGAGGTATCAGATTGAACTGGAAAGTTTCCGTGACAAAACGTATATTTCAGATTTGTTTGTTCACCAAGAAATGTCCAAACAAGGATAAAAACTGCACAGTTTCTTTACGTGCCAGGTGTACAGTAAGTGAGCGCTGGCATTGGCTTGGGAGCCACCTGCAATTGGCCAGCTTCACATTTCATCCAATTCATGTTTAATTGACCTATCCCGGTTTGCGAGTTAGTTAGCTCCTTAGACAATCCTATGGAATTTTGCACATAAAGTTTTGTTTGTCTCAGATTTTGCGCGTTCCGCGTCCATTTGTATATCATGTAATATGACAATATTTCACAAGCTGTGTTGACACGATTCTACCGCGATTGGTTAATTGATAATGAGTCGTTGAACAGTAGTTCAGTGGTCTGAGGTTCACATTCCTTCTCATTCTTTGCCATAATCGGATCCATTCTGTTTCAGGTCAGAGGAGGCCCAGTCAGTGCTGCCTTCTACAGTCCTGAGCAGCCCATGTTTGATTATAGTCTCATTGTCATATGGTGCATGGCTATGATAACTGTCATCATAGGAGGATATTGGTCAGGTCTGACTGGTTATAAAATGTAAGTATTTGCTTCTCAAAATCTTAAACTCTTGTCACACTAAGTTCCTCAACATAGAATTTGAAAGCAATATTAAAGACTAGTTATTTTAACTCTGACAGGGTGGACAAACCTTACTGGTCTAGCCCCAACGCTTACCCTATTATCACTAGCGACCTGCTCAGTATTCAGCCCAGTGTTGTAGTTGAGACCTTCATGTCCGAGACCAAGACCGAGACCGAGACCAAGGCATTCGAGACCAAGACCAAGACCAGCTCTTTCGAGACCTAGACCAAGACGTCCAGCACCGAGACTTTTGAAGGCCGAGGCTGAGACTGATACCGCGACTAAGACTTCCGAGACCTAGACGGAGACCAAGCATGGAAAAAAAAATTATGGTGTTGAAACAGATTTCCATTATGCTGTGTTGTGCCCTGCTTTAAATGAAAATATGTTCAAAAAAATAACTTCCTGCAGATAATGACCTTTGCCGAAAAAAAGTTTTGGAATAAAGACTAGACTCATACGTAACTCAGCTTGCAAATGAATAAAGCCATACGTATGTAGATGGTGCATTTTGTTGGGGTCTGGGGGGGGGGTCTCGAGGGTTAAAACCCGAGATCTCGGCATCTGAGCCTAAGACCAAGACTGAGACCAGTGCTTTCAAGATCAAGACCAGCCCTCCCGAGACCCAGACTTTGATATTACGAGACCTAGACTGAGACCGCAAAAAAAGGTCTCAAGACGATCTCGAGACTGAGACCAGATCTCGAAACCTACATGTACCCCCCCCCCCCCCCAAAAAAATATCAGCCTGCTGAGTCAATCCAAAAGTCATTTGTTTACTCTCCAGATGAATCAGATGGCAATTTCCCTGCTTGGATCTTCTTGGATTTGACACAGTGAGAGCTAAGAAAGGCTGAGTCACTGTAAATTAAGTTTCTTATTTACAAAAGCTCCGATATTTGTGTTTTCTGTAACATAGCACTAAGACCAAAGAAAAGAAGGAAAAACGAGCAGCCGCTGCCGACAGAAGGGAAAGGACAGAGGAGGAGTCTGAATCCGACACAGAGAGCGAAGAAGAACCAGTGACCATCACCTTACCTATCGTGGTCGTCTGGGTCATCATGATCATGGTCATGCTTCTATTGCTGTTCTTCTTCTATGACTACATGGGTAAGTTCAGCCAACAGTGCGGAGGGGTGTGGCGTCCTGGTCCGGTGCATTGAACTCAAGCTATTTGTGTCAAGTTAAAGGGATAATACAACATTTGCAATCATCGAAAAATAAAACTACCAAGTTTTTACGAAATACCTTACTAGGATGTTGGTAAATGACAGTCAATAGCAACCTGTAAAATTATGGCACCTGGTGTGAAGTCATTTTCAGGAAAATTGTATTTTTGTATACATTTCCAACGCTGGTCGGCCGACCATCGTTGGAAAAACCTAACTATTTTTCGACTTCTGCTCCACATTTACCCTTTTTTTCAGTCCAAATTTTGTTTGCTATTGGTTACATGTTCATGAACAGGTGCAGGCCAGCTAGACTGGATCCCCTTACCTTACAATTTTTCTGGCATCTATAAATTGATCCATTTTATCTTTAGTGGAGTCAGGGAACCAGACTACTTGAACATTTTTGTTTTTCTTGGTTTTTCCAGCATATTCGAACACAAAATTTCAAACATGTCAGTTTAACAATATTTGATCTATTATACTAACCCCTCAAATAGGTCATTTCTGAAAATTACAGCAACAGCCAATGATGTACATTCCCTTTAAAATTGAGTGTTGTTAACGAATTCTGTTTCTGATTAATGCCATGATATTTACTATTCTCTTGGTTTCCCATAATTAAGCACAAGTCCCTGTATTCTGCTTTTTTTTTTTGCAGTGTACGTTGTGATAACATTTTACTGCCTGGGTGCGGCAAGCGGCCTGCATACATGTCTGTTTCCCATTCTGAAGCGTATTATGCCTTGCAAAAGAAGGTAAGTTTGGTTTCTGGTAAATAGACTACTACAGTTCAGGGTAACACTATTTGATTTTGTCAATCCAATTGTTCAGTTTAAGGCATTAATGTTGTCATACTTATTGTTGTATAATTCAGAAATCCAGAAACTTACAATTGGGGATCAGGAGAGATTGTGTTTAACATTAGCTGGGATATACCAAAGAGGATGTGATTAAACATGTTTGAATTTGGAATAATAACTTAAGCATTCTGCTGTTTAATAGTACAGTGATTTAGCTCTTGGCTAGCAGACTAACTGGTTGTCATGCTTATCTTCCAGGGTACCAGCCAACAAAATCCCCTTTCTGCGCTCCCGGCCGTATATCTTCAGTGTCGTATTGGGTCTGGCCTGCATTGGCTGCGTGGTGTGTTGGTTCGTCTTTCGTCACGAGAGTTTCGCCTGGATTCTTCTGGACTTGCTTGGAGTAGCGTTCTGCGTCAGTGTACTCAAACTGATCCACATTCCAAACTTCAAGGTCGGTCCTCAAGATGATCTTCTTACCCTCTCTCTGTGTGTTGTTCGTTACTGCTTTTGTTTTGCAGTGTATGTCAGAAATTGGAACAAATTGTTAATCGTTCTGCCGTGTTTGTGACACGCCGATGCAATTTGTGAGCAGAAATATTTACTTTGCTGCTTTGAAAATTGTTTAACTCAATTTGGCTCATCACTTATTTTTGTTAATAAATAAGGTAATATACAACATTTGCAAACATCAAAAAACAAAAACTACCAAATCATTATGAAATACTTTACTTGGCTGTATGTGAATAATGGTCGCGATCATCTTGTGGAATCATGGCACCTGGTGCGCTATCATTTTCAAGAAAAGTGAAATTTTGGTATCAATTTCCAACGATGGTCAACCGACCATCGTTTAAAAAATGACTTTTTTCAAATACTGCCACCGATTTACCACATTTAGTTAGTCCACATTTTGTTTGCATTTGGCTACACATCCAGCTTTCAATTTGTTTCTTTTTTTTTATATTTCAGGTTTGCTTTGTCCTTCTGTCACTGCTGTTTTTCTACGACATCTTCTTTGTCTTCATTACACCTTTGTTTACCAAGGTAAGGTTATGGACGAGAGAGTTCAACCGTCTCATTTCATTTAGATTTTCAATTGAAAAATGTATACAGGATTTTGAAAACAAAAATAAAATTGATCAGTATCTCGTAGTCAGCCCAGCTTTGTTGTGTTACACTTAACTTCCTTTCCTTACCATGGGCGAAAGGCAAACTTCCATTTCCTTAACCCCCCCCCCCCCCCAACCCCTTCCCCCCTCCAAGATGCTTGCACTAGTACACACCTGAGTAAACTTGATACGTTTTTTTCTCTCAAAATCTTTTGGCGGTGCTGAACATCAGTGCTTATTTTTTTACTTCAGTGGCAAAACCCAAACATTAAGATTTATTCTCTGTTCACTGTTCTTTTAAAAAAATTTGAAATTGTTTTTGTCTTGAATGGTTTTGTGAGTAGGATGGTGTTAGCGTCATGGTCCAAGCAGCAACTGGGGGCAGTGGTGCGACTGAACAGGTCAGTTGGATTGTATGCTCGTTCTGTTGTTCGTTACTTGATTGCATTCACTGTACGCAGAATAAATCCACATTCATGACCCAGCATCTTTCAAAAACGTTTGAACTTGCGGAACATTGTTTTCAGAGTTTTCATTTGCCCAACTTCGCATTTTTGTTTTACTACGCAGATCCCAGTGCTTCTACAGGTGCCGCATTTGTCGCCCTCTACTGCCCAGGTTTGCCAGTTGCCCTCCATGTTGGGATTTGGTGACATGCTAGTGCCAGGTGTGTGGCTCAACCTCATTGCTGAGGCATCAATAAATGCAATGATCAGTTAAAAGATGTTTGCTTTTATTCTTTCCTTGTGTTTATGTTGAGGCACTCTTTGGATGGACTCTCTGCAGCAACAGTGGATATGCACATGTGGGCAGTATACAGCACCGCCTTTATCCAGAACATGCACAACTGATCGAGTTTTTGCCCCCAAAAAAAGAGCTCTCCGTTTTCAAATAATTTAGTATTCAATAACTCGAAACTGCTATTGACCTGCTATTTTTTTACTCAAAACATTATTCCTTCCAGAAATTACATGGCACAATCATTCACTCGTGCATGAACACGCATTAGTTGGCCTGCAGACCCGATCGAGCTTGTTTTTCAACTTAACCATCCCCAACCGGTCTTCAAAGTTCAGCTGCTGTGGAAGTTTGTGTTATTAGTCCATGCCGGTTGTACTAAACAATAAAGCTGTTGGTAATGTAATTTTGTGTTTTCCCTTCTTTTCAAATTCTACTTTCTTCCCATGACAGGTTTACTTGTCGGCTACTGCTGTTCCTTCGACTTCAAAACCCACTCACGCATCAAGGTGTACTACATTGCTTCCTGTGTTGGTAAGGTTGCTGTGGCATAGTTATCTGTGTTTATTTGCATCCATGGAATCATCAAACTTGAAAAACTGTTAGTCAAATTGTTGTTGAAGCTAAGTCCTAAAAGCAAAAATCTAATTGATATTTTTCTCCAATTAAATCTGATCTTTGTATACAAAACCAATCGATTGTTTTTTTCTCAATCTTGCAGATACTCTGATTTTCAATTCACTTTTGAGTCAAGAACCGTTTCGTTTTTTTTCCCAGTAGGCAACTCATTAAACTATTTGCTTTATATTATATCTGACTTTTTTTCTCTGTCTTGACTCCCCGCAGCCTATGGCATAGGACTCATCTTAACCTTTGTTGCCCTCGCTCTGATGAAGACCGGCCAACCAGCACTGCTTTACCTGGTCCCCTGCACCGTCCTGACAACGCTGGCACTAGCCGCAGCACGCAGAGAACTCTCGGACATCTGGCACGCAAAACAATCGGTGAATGAACTCCACCGACTTTGACTAGTTGACCATGTATGCTTACCACATCATTGAATGCATTATGTGTTTGTGGTTTTCCGCTTTATATTTCTCTTTTTTGGTGCGTGTCATTTCAAATCTTGCTGCTTTTGCTGTTACAAAAATACCTCTTTTGTGTCTGACATTAAACTTTTTTTTAATCAAAATGCACATGCACATGTATATTTAAAAAGATTTACACAAATACGACAAACTATCATATCATCTTGCAAACTCCACATACCTTTATTCAATTTGGACTTCCTCATGGTAATGGAATGACGAATGTAAATGTTTAAAACTTGTAAAATGTTTGTTTTTTCATTAAAGAAACAGTCGAGTAGACAGGCTCCAGTTACTCGGAATGGAGACTGCACCTCACTGAACACTAACGAGCCGGGTTCCCACACCACAGACTGCACCACAGTTCAGGGCACTCGACCCGACGCAACGCACCCCACTGACACCCCTGCTTCGCCACAGGAGGAACCCATTGGACAGCCGTCCGCTCCCCAGATGGGTCGAGATCAGGACTTAGAGTCTATAGATATAAGTCTGGATGACTTTGACATTGAGACGAGCCCTCTTTTACCCCTGGCTGCAATGCCGACTACCGAGATCAAGTAAAGGCATAGAAAATGGCCGCCTGGAATGAACAAAACACGCTCGGCCAAAAAATGACAGATCTCAGTTCTGTTTACCTTACTAAAGTCTTCAAATTGTGGGTTTGAGCCTGGGGACCTTGTGTCCTTAAGCAAGGCACTTGACTGTGATTGTTTCTTCACCCCAAATCTGTGTGGGTGCATGTACATTTGTTCATGTATATCAAGTGCTATTTAGTGTCAGGTTGCTTGTGGCCACCTGCTATCGTACTTAATCATCATCAACTTTTTTTTTCAAACATTACCGCCTATTTAGGGCTGTCCCAAACGTACTGAATATTTAAGTAGCTTTTTGCTGGCTTGAATATTCGAAACCCCCAAACTAAGCACATACACACACGGTGCCATTTTTTAGTCGATGGTAACTTTTTTGTCAACGGCGGTGCATCGTTCCCATCCTTTTAGCAGGTCAAGCCCTTGACCATGTTGACAGTCATAAAAATGCTTACTGCAAACACTCCAGCAGACCACAGAGCCATGGGCGGCCATATTGATCGCTGCACGCAAATTTTAACAAGCCATTTGCGAGTAACATTTGAAAAACATCTGGTACACTGACTTGCTCAGAATGCTTGGCACATTTTAACGTTGAATTCTCTAGACCAAAGACACTGTTGCTAATCACATGATTCGGGGCAAGCTCTTGCAGAGTTACGTAAGAGATGCTCAGTACCAATACATTGTTCACAATGGGTGAGAATGGCACAAAGACACCAGACCATGCCGGAGCTGGGGGTTGCTAGCATAAGGCTTGCCCCGAATCACGTGATGTAGTAACAGTCTCTTTGTTCGGGAGAATGCAAAGTTAAAACGTGCAAAGCATTGGATTAAGTCAGCGTTCCAGATTTTATTCAAATTTAACTCGCAAATGGCTTTACCAGCACGGCAGGCACTTTCAGCAGGCAGTTTCGAATATCCTAATATTCAGTCAAACACAATTTCGAGTAATCGTGTACTAAATTATTTGAAAATGGACAGCCCTACGCCTATTTCAAGGTCCAAGCTGAAATCTGAAATGTAATTCATGTACACAGTGCATTCCTTATGAGGATTCTGTGATAGTGTGGACAGGACTTAGAACAAAGTTTCAGGACATGTAACCTCCACAATTCAATTGTGTTAGTTATCTCGAGTTTCCTCGAGTTTACTGCTCTCTCTGTTCGGTGCCGCTGAAAAGAGAATTCTATACTGCCCTCTGGCGCATATGGAATTCCATGGGATACGATGGCGCATGCGCAAGACCAGTAACGAATGCACTGGCGCAGACCAGACGTCGGCGAATAAAATTTGGTTCTCTAGTCATGTATATCTGCCGTAGGAAATCATTTTACTTTAACTACCTATTTAAGTGATGTCACTTCTTGTAGCTTAAAAGCATTTGAATAATAGATTTACTTTTTATTTTGTTTCATTGTTCCTTCCAAATTTCAAGATGTATAACACGGCTATATTGACTATACTTGCTTATCCTTGGTGTTGAGCTTCTGAGTTTAATTCTGCTTTTGCTAGAGTTCATTGCTCAGGACCAAGACGACTTTTACGTAGTTTGACCGTTGAGTTTCAATCCATAGAACTTCAAATTGGCTTGACCATCAGATGGAAATAGAAACTTTTTCCCCCAAACTTAGTTTGAACAGTCCTATTCTGAAAACACATGTAAGGTCATACAATGAGCTTTTGTTATTTACACTATTTACAGTATTAAAATTAACGTTCAGAGTTATGTTTGTTTTTACCAGAGTTGACATATCTAGAGGTAATCATTATGTAGGGATACATGTATTTTTGCCTTGTAGTTCAGGCATGCTTATTTTCTGGGACACAAAATGTAAGTGAAATTCAAGAAACATGCAGATCTCCAAGGTTTCATGAAGAGTTAAGCTTTTTACTGATAACAATGCCTGCATAGTTTCCAGCTTTCGCTTGTATAGTTTCACATTTTTTACTTGATCTGTAACAGCCATGTTGATGTGTTTAAATTTTTAGAGTTATTCAAGTTCTTGTATATCTTTTTTTTTTTGCCCAAACAAATATTTCAATAAAACTCATGGCGATTATGCCAGGTAAATACCAGTTTCATTTATTTTGTTCTCAATCCAAAGGGACTATGATTATCTTCTCGTAAATTGGCCAAATTCTACATGAAATATCAGTCTTATAAATGCTTATAATGCTTATAATAGCGCTTTCCATCGTATCAACAATCTCAAAGCGCTTTACAATTATTACCCCGTTCATCAGGCCACGAAACAACGCGGCAGCCGATATCAGTGCACCCTTCAGTCCTCGACCCTCACAGGCACCCATTTATATTCTTGGGTGGAGAGAGGCAATTGTAGTTCAGTGTCTTGCCTAAGGGCACAAACACCATGTTCCTGGCAGAGTTCGAACCCGGTAACCACTGGACCATGGCATTATGGACCACGGCTTAATGTTGCTCAGTGGGATGTCTGGCAAATAAGCCTCTGTACTGATGACGTGACACTTATGTTTACTCGTGCGCTTTTCTATGGTGCTACGAAACTGTCGTCCCAACCAGGCCCCCATAAGAAAGCACACATGTAAACAAAGTGCGATGTCATCAGTACAGAGGCTTATTCATGTGCTCAATGAAACTAGTTTCTCTCTTTGTTGGTATTTAGTAAAAAAATTGAAGTCTTGAAACAATGATTGTTGTATCTGTGGACATCATGATCATCTGGTTTTACACTTCTTGTAGCAGACAGGAAGTCCTGAATGGAAGTTAATGCCACGCACTGAACCAGAAACATGTAACCTTTGTGTTGGGTACCCGCACCTATGCACCTAATGCCGTCTGAGTACATGTACTTGTGAGAACAAATTTCACAAGCTTGCTTGGGTGGACATCTGCTTACTTGGGTGGAAATCTGCTTACTTGGGTGGAAATCTGCTTACTTGAGCTGATGTCTTGAACTATTTGCTGGGGTTGGTTGGCCAAAGCTAGCTTGAGTAACTCCAGCTAATGCGAGACACACTGGAGCTGGAGTTACTCAAGCTGTGCCAATTAGCTATGAATTTGATACAACACGGAATTGTTGACGGCTCTGCGGTATTCATTGCAAGATTAGCTATAACAAAAAAAATGATCCAAAACTGGTGTCAAAATACAACGAATATTGCACTCACAAATGAATTTGTTGAGGAAAAAGAATGTTTGTAATTTCTGGTCAAATGTCAACTCTACAGCTAGATGTATCGTGCATAACAGTGCACTTATTCAGCATGTGTCTCATCACTCATTTGACAAAGCGAATCACATCCTGACAAAATGATGTAATGTGTTTGCCTGGTGTTGGAATGTGGCAATTTCCTTCCTTTGAAAAATCATCAAATCAACATGGCAGCTGTACATTTGTACTTTGTCCAAAGATTTATGTCAACAATTTCCTTTATAAAACTGTGATTTTTCACTCCATAGCTCCGTGGGGCCAACTCTGGCTGGATTCAGAAAACCTGTGGTCTTATCAGGGAGAAATCCGTCATCTTTGGAGAGATTTATTCCCAATTTTAATTGGCAGGATACATGTATATTTCTCATCATATCTGGCCTTGTCTGAATTACTTGGCTGCGGCTGCAAATTACACACAAGTCTATATAGTAGCGGCTGCAGCCACTTAATTAATAATAATAATAGTGGATATTTATAAAGCGCACGTATCCACCAGGACTGGTGCTCAAGGCGCTACATCATTATTACCCCTGCTCATTGGGCACATGAAACATTCCAAATACCATCTCAGCTCCCTGGGGAGTATACAGCTCGATGCAGCCTGTTAGGTGCAAGGAAGCTATTTTAATCACAATAACCATCTCTGCCCTCACAGGTACCCATTTACTCCTGGGTGGAGAGAAGCAATGAGTGACAAAGTGCCTTGCCCAAGGGCACACGCACCATGACCCCGCCAGGACTCGAACCCACAAACTGCAGCTTTACCCGCAGACCACGAATCACTGCCCTTAACCACGAGGCCACAGTATTCCACATCATAATTCCCATAGACCTGTGTGTAACTTCAAGCCGTAGCCAACTTCGGACATGGCATCTGTTTGCTAAACGCAATGAGAACCAGTTGCATTATATTAGATGATTACATCTCATGATTACATCTCATGACACATTGGCTGGTAACCTTTCTTTTGGCAAGGTACAGTAATCTGTGTAGTGTTTGTGCTTGGCAAATTGTTGTGCTTACCCGCTCAATGAAATTTTCCCCAGGACAATAAATCACCAAAAAATTTGGTAAAAAAGACAACCGACGGAACTACGTGTATCAGTTTGTTGGAACACGTCAAAAAACAATGGCATTAACTCTGTGGTTTTCCTATCGTGTCACAAAAACCGACCCATGCACATGTATAATGCACTTTGCTTCCTCGTGCGGTTGAGCAATTCACAAAACAATACATTTTATCCATGCACTTTTTATGACAAAACCTGAACAAACTCAAATCGTACTTTGAAACATAAAGACATCCGACTCTTCAATTTGTTTTATGGAATGGGATAACTTTCATCCATATCCAACATTTATTCATTAATTCCATCCGACCAGACGGACTTTGAAAACCCATCTTCTGTCTCCTTCTCTTTATAGGAAAATAAAACCTCTGATTCCATTGCAACAGGAAAAGAAATCATACCAGGAATTACCTAAACCCCAAATGCTTCCAAAGTCTGAAGTAAAAAATCCCAAATCTCTGAGCAATAACTTACCTACCCCCAAATTTGCTAACATTCAGATCTCTACTTATACAAGCCAAAACAGAGCATCATGCTAATTTCTAAAAATCCCAAATTTGGCATGACCACAATTTTACCTTTTTTTTTATAACTTTACTTAAAATTGATTGTTTAAACATATTGTACAATGTACATGATGATTCTAGATTACATATTAGATATTCAGTTAAAAGTGTAGACATTCCAGAGAATAAAACATCCAAAAAATAAGACTACTCAAAAAGTATGCATTTCAATAGCAAAAAGTTAAAAAGGGGCACATCGGTAGAAACTCCCATCACAGTGTCTTGTCTGGGAGACAAGGTACATTAAACTTTCCATACATGGCTTGGATTTCTGTCTTACAACATTTCAGAAAACACATCACCACACTAAACTAAATTTGACTTTAGAGATCAATGAGCATATATACCTGTCACACAAAAAAAGAATGAATGATTAAAAAAATAAAAGAAGAATGAATGATTTAAAAATAAACTAAAATTTGAAACTGCTACTTGCGTTGACATGACTGAAGTAAACAAATTCAAGCACACCATACTTTTTGTACATGGAATGCACTTAAACTCGAAAGATAAAAAAAAAAATCAATCTTTACATCGATTCAAACCACAAGTTGAACCCAACTCAACTTTCTGTACATGTAGATTCACATTAACAGAGTTAGCCAATTTGTGCATAAAAATGATCTCAAATCTCATCAACAATTTCTACACAAAGGTATTACAAATAAAACATAAATTAAAAAAAATTCACCGATGAAAAATAATTTTGTATGCAAGAACACAGACAATGAATCATGGTAAACAAAAGGGATTCAACTGTAAGGCCAAAAAAAAAAGTCTCCAGTTTCTGGTATGGAGCTTGCCCAAAAAATTGGTGCGGCGACGCAGCTTTTTTTTACCTGGTTTTTTTTTGCTTCAAATGTCGGCTGATGACTGCAAATGGTGCCCGACTAAACTTAGTGCAAATATATGGGAGTCCAGAGAGGCCACATAAAGCTTATTCTCGATCATAACCCCATATTAAAACACGTTAAAATTGTGCAGCAGCAGGATTCCAGTCAAACCAGTGAGTTTGGCGGTTTTGCGATATCATCTTTCACGCGCGCGTATACCAGAAACCGGAGACTTTTTTTTTTGGCCTAATGCAACAGGTTTTTTTTTTTGTGTGGTACACTACAACATTTTCTGTAGATTTGAAAGCATTTAGTTTCATGGAATAAAAAACATTTGAGCTTTCATTTCTGACAAGTACATGTACCTGTACACATGAATATGATGTATACTGGGAACTGGAGAGTTCATCAGGCCAATTGAGTACATTACACATACACAATGTATGCATTTAACTGAATCTGTTCTTCTTGGGCTATTTTGGAGAAGGAAATTAAGTTAATTCAAACCATTTTTTTCTGAAAGAGATTTTCCAACAAGGTATGTGCATGTGACCAGGCTAGCATGCCTTGGGGAAATGCATTCATAAAAGTGGTAATATGTCATTATCTACGTACATTTACACAGGTATAGGTAATTTTGACAAAAAAAATGGAATAACAAAATATTACAAAATGTAAGTGGCAAAAAACTGTAAAATTGTTTTCATATCTAATATTGTGTGTGATACCAAGCAAGAAAACTGAACTCACGAAACAGAACAGAGATATAAATTACACTCTCTCATACATACATATTTCTTTTTCGATTATATTTCATCATGTGTGCACAGGTACGTTGTACGTGTATGTAAGCATCCACTAACATACATGTACATGTACATGATTTTCATCCAGTTGCTATGCTGCATGCAGCAGTTGATCACTGGCTTGACATAAGTTAAATATTACCATGTACATGTACATGTACGTTCTTAAATGTAAGAACGTTACGGTTACTTTGATCTGGTATGTTACAGGTATACATTTGTATCTACCATTATCATAACATTCATGTATTCCCATGCCTACACTAGAAACTGTCATTGTTTTTTATTGTAGAAAAAAATTGTAGAAAAAAAAATATTAAAAAAAAAAAAAATTGAAAGTTTTCAAAAGACACATTTTGCAACAACTTAAATCCAATTAAAACAGAGCTGGGCATTGACTAACGTGTTGTTCTCAGCATCAGAACTCCTATAACTTATATATGTAACTCTATCTTAAAAGCTATCTTGGCTTTAAAATAAGAATTTATTCTGCAGAAATTTTCCATCAACTGTTCTACGACGATCCATCTAACTATGCATGGGACACAGCTCAGTATTTCAACCCCAACTGAAGTCACTACCGGAAATTCAACAATTGGCATCATTGTTATTTTTTGGCCAAATTACAAATGCCCAAGTGAAGAAATTTGTCCCAAGAATACCACTTTCTCCGTCTGCCATCCCCTATACCCTTCACAATTATACATTCTATTTACAACAGTTTTAACAAAAGGTTGCACCAGCCGGGATTTTGTGGATTTTTTACACCAAGGCACTTTTCTTCATTCTCCCCTGATCAATTCTGGAAAAAAAAATTGTTTTAAAAAATCATGCAAACTTTTTTTCAGCCAATGCGGATAGGTTATGTGTGAACTACATGTAAGGCTTTAAGGGTTAAAATATTTTTACATACAGACTGGTTTAAAAGCCTGCCTGTCAAGGCTGTTGTTGAGGCCAACCAGAGGCAGGATAGGCGACAAGGTCTGCTCTAATAGAAGTGTAAGCTCTACAAGTCTAGGTACCAGACCACCACAATGCTGATACACTACATATTTGGTGCCTAAAGCTAATTACAAGGAGCTAACGAAGCAATTTTTTGTTCCAATTTACAATCGGACCCAGCACAACTTTGACAATACCCACGCATAGCTGGGCACCTAGATTAGTCCATAAGCCCGGTTCAATGCATGTTTTTGCTGTCCCAAAATAATCTGGGGAATGACTAATTTCAGAAAAAAAAACTTGAGAAAAATTTACCGTGGGCACAAAATGGCAAAGTATGTGAAGTTTTGGGGGCAAAAAAAGTCTGGATGCCCAATTTGTATTGTCTTTTCAATGTGTTACTTGTGGAATTGTACTGGTCCATTTGATAAACTTAGGAAACATGATTGAATGAGTCACTTTGAGGTTGAGCTATAACAGGAATGGGAAGTTGCCCAACTGTTTACAATGGATCTTTTTGATCAAGCCATCATGAATCTGCTACAGTTATGATGAAGTCACTTCCATATTTATGTGCTGACTTGTACCACGTAAGGACATTAAAGCCGTTAAGCTGACCACATGTAAAGTACATGTATCAGCTGATTGCCAACAACACAGCATTTCCTGAAAGGTGTTTTTTTTTTTCCCAGGTGAATGGTTGATGACTTAACATACATGTAAATAAAGGGTGTTTAGAACTTTTCAAAGGGAACAAGAATGTTTTGAGACGTTCCTTTGTAGGTTCTGGCCCAGACTAATACACGTACATGTATACCAGAATTGTTTTAACTTTATCTCAGCTTGAAACAAGTAGCCACAGGTGTGACATACATGTACTTGAATGTAGGTGGGACTGGGAGCAAGTTAATGCAACCAGCAATTTGCAGTTCATTTGGGGTCAGGTAAAAACACAATTTAACTGTTCATCTGGACATACATGTACATGTAGCAGGAACATACACGTCAAATTGAAGACAAATTAAAGTGTGGAATGAAGGGAACAGTTTATGCACTTTTAAGTTCTGTACATGCAATTTTTTTTTGTACAAACATGTAGGTATACATACGTTAAGGCTTGTTATGGTATTAAAATATTCATAAGACAAACACGCCCTGCAAATCACCTATATGAAGTTTGTGCAAACTCCAACATTCTAATTCCAAAACCCCAAAAGGAAAAAAAAAAATCAAATTTCAATCGACGGCTTCTATTAATTACATTGGAAAATTGACTTCAATAAATTCTACAATGTAATATCTTAGTACATGTATAATACAAGATGTACAACTCAAGGAAAGTAGGAACAAAATATATTTCAAAGGAGACACGTTTAAGATGCCTCGTGATTGTTAACCAAACAAGCAATGCTTCATAAAATCATGAGTATCAGAAGGGCTAGTTTGGGATTTCAAAAAAAAAGTCTTTCCTTGTTGGCCACCATTTGTCCACAATTGCAAAAAGCAAAACAGGAAGAGAGTTTCACAGGAAATGCCCATACATGTACATGCTTGTTCTCTGAAGAAGTCATGAAATCAAGCTTGCGTAGGAACGGACAAGGTAAAATGAGTAGTATCCGTGCACACACGCACACACAACGCTAGTTTAATTGTTTTGGTTTCATGCAGGTTTTAAAAAGGTCAATAAGTCATTAGGGTAATTTGCAAAGTGTGAATATGCGTTTTGGACATATGTTTTAAGCTTTTAGCGGAGTAGACCTATTAAAGATGAAATGGTTTACTATGCAACCATGTATTATTTAAGGATCACTTGATGCATGCTAAGCCAGTGCTAATGTGAACGAACTGTGAAGTGGCAATAGTAAGCTTTTTTTTATTTGAATTTGCATTTTTTTAGTATTTAAAAAAAAAAAATTCATTTCAAAAATAAACACGAAAAGCAACAAGCTATTTCAGGCGGGCTAACATTTCCTGATTTCAATGCCTCTACAAACTGCCACAGACTTTTAAAATTCTGCATCGAAACAAAAAAAAATTATGATGAGACTTATTTACCTTTAGACTTTCAAGTTTTTTCAAAGATTCAGAGGAAATTAGGCACTTTACAAGGGAAATATGGATACGGTTTTCTTTCATTGTTTGAGTAAAACTATGCAAGCCAGGGGTGGAGAAGGGCAACGTTTTAAAGTGATTAAAAAATCCTCTTTGTGCATAAATCTATATCACATTAAAAATAAACTTCACAGCAAAATTATTAGCCTTAGATTGTCATTCTACTCTTTTTCATGCCAAATGTCTTTAAAAATTGCACAAAGTTTTCAGCAAAAAAGTAATCCTTCACCACCGGCATTCTGGAAGACATAATGGATGTCATAAAAACTAAAAGTTAAAATTTCCATTCAAATTTGTTCGTTTTTGTTTTTTCTCTCTATTGTCTCTTTTATCAGTTTTGTGTAGAATAGAGCCACCCTCAGCAAGCATCAAGTTTCAACTGCACTAGAGCAAAAATAGTCAACAGACTCCTGGCTAGTCTAGTATTTACATTTACAGTTGCCATATATGCCATCTGACACACTCTTGGAGATCTGAGTTTGTTATGCGGTGCCGTGGACATCATGCCCCATTGGGTTTAAAACAAAGGAGCTCAAACGCACAATCCTTGCAGGTGTCACTTGTCGTCCACACAACACAATAAAGCTCTGCTGGTGTGATAGAAACGGACTCAGAATAAACTTGCCTCTGGATTGTCTGGGCATGCTCAGTAGATCTGTACAAACGTTCCTTTGATGTATACAAAGTGGGCAGAGGAACTCTCTAATTGTCGTTTGCTGTTAAAAAAAAAAAATTGGGAAAATAGACAGAATATCAGTAGGGGGCAATTGCAGCGTTATGAAAGAAAATGTAATGTCCTTCACAGAGCCAATTAACCATGATATCTAATAACTGATTCAGAGAAATGATCCAAAACTCCTAGTCTGTAATCTCCTTGACCATTACCAGATGATGGACGTATTTGGGCAATTCTTTGGTAACGGAATTACGGAATTTTGTCACATTGTCAAGGATTATTCTTTCCCAAGAAAATATGTTCAATGCTAGGTAACTAATCTAAACATGGAAAGGGAGCCAAGACCCAATAGAATTGATTGACCACTAAAAAAAAAAAAATCCCACAAGATTACCCTTTTAGGGGCGGAGCTTAATATCGGTAACGGAATTACGGACGGAGGACAAGCATATTTGAGTTCTCGCATAAATTAATAAAACTCTCTGAAGTTTTGAAATTTTAAAATTGGACACTACCTGTTATTTGTAGAGTTCAGGGGTGTTGTTAACTACGATGCAGAACAAAGTTGAAAAAATAATCACTCTTTTCATAATTTGCATTTTAATCACGGTAACGGAATTACGCCTGGGCGGTAACGGAATTACGCCATAGGTTTACATGTAATAGGTAAATGCAATACATTAACATTGAATTCAACATAAACTCATCACAATACAAATTTTAGAAGTATATAAAATGCCACAAGGGGAAAGCTCAGTGAAAATAAGCAGATCAAAATGTAAATGTAGACCTAAGCATGTCTGGGCTTCATTTTTTAGGTCAAAGGTCAAGGTCAAATGAAAGCAGTCTGGTGATGGCTGCATTGCCTGTTAGCAATGTATATATTTTTTTTTTACGAAAACCAAATTTTACTATGAACAATTGTATCGTATTTCACTAGTTTATCGTGGAAAATACAATAAAACTGTACTGGTTGGCATATCTGAGCAAGGGAAGATGTTAAGTTATGCCAAGTAGAAGTACAAGTACAGTCTGGTACTCAACTTTCATATACTTGTTGTGGAATATATTTTCTCTGGGTACCCGACAACGGCTTTGGCAACATATTTAATGGGAATGTACATCATTGGCTTTTGCTGTAATTTTCAGAAATGAACTATTTGAGGGGTTAGTATAATAGATCAAATATTGTTACACTGACATGTTTGAAGTTTTGCGTTCGAAAATGCTGGAAAACCAAGAAAAACAAAACTGTTCAAGTAGTCTGGTTCCTTGACTCCACTAAAGATAAAATGGATCAATTTATAGATGCTGGAAAAGTGGAAGGTAAGGGAACCAGACTAGCTGGCCTGCACCCGTTCATGAACATGTAACAAATAGGTGTAGCAAACAAAATTTGGACTGGAAAGAGTATAAAGTTGAAGCAGTAGTTGAAAAATAGTTAGGATTTTCCAACGGTGGTCGGCCGACCACCGTTGGAAATGTACATACAAAAATATCATTTTTTTGAAAATTACTTCACACCAGGTGCCATAATTTTACAGGATGCTTTAGACTGTCATTTACCAACATCCTACAGTGTAGTAAGGTATTTCGTAAAAACTTGGTAGTTTTATTTTCTGATGTTTGCAAATGTTGAATATATTCCCTTTAAGCATCCAAACAACTATTAGCATTTTTTAAATAGTAAAAAAGAAAAAGTAAAAGTAAAAAATATCAATGGAACACCTGATTATTTTTAATTGTATAATAGCAAATTAAAGAGGGAAATGATTTAACAAGTAATTTAGTATTTAAAGTTATTGTCCAAGGTTTACATGCAAATCTCCTATTTAATATGTCATGTACATAATCTGGGGGAAGTGTGCATACTTTGTGCATGCGTAATTCCGTTACCGTAATTCCGTTACCGTTTCGTAATTCCGTTACCACTTGGAAAAATGCCAAGAAATTACTATTTTAAAGTTTTTATTTTTCATTTATGTTTATAGTAGGGTCTTTTCTCAACATACATGATTTGTAGAAAAAAAACAAGAAAATTTGTGAAATAAGTAACTTTTGCCATTTTTTCGGTAACAGAATTACGTGCTAATTTTGACATTTTTAAATGAAGGCCTACACTATATATATATATATATTTATATTTTTAGATTTTTTTTTAATGACCCTGAGTAATGTTAGTAACTTGTAACATCATAAAATAAATCAAATCTTTTCCCTATAATTCAGAAAGTAATACATACACAAAATTTTATTTTTTTACCAAATCTGAACGTTATTAATCATAAATTGCAAAAATCACCGTTTTTACCAGAAAATTGTATTTTTTTTTAATTTCGTTTTTTGAACTGAATTCCCCATTTAATTGAGGTCTGGAAAAAGTACGAAAAAGGTTTAATATGTCAATATTTATTTTTGACATTTTTTGCTCTCCCATGGAGAATTGCCCATTTATAAGATTTGAAAAACACATTTTCAGGTTTATTCACCGAGGTCTTAAAAGTACCAAAAAAATGCCTGATTTGTAATGTCGTGATGCAGGAATTGCCAAGGTACATGTGATGCGATCAAGCTAAATGAGTCGTTTGTCGACCCTGGGCATTTTTTTTTTACAGATTTGAAAAGAGCACAATCTCAGCATTACTGCTGTGAAAACCGCATGCTGGTACCATCTTTAGTTCAAAAATTATGGAAGTCGGAACACCAACAGTTATGATGAAGTGATGTGATGAAGTGGCCCTATTTTGGCCTGAATCTCCGAATGAAAATTCCCGACAAACAACTCATTTAGCTTGATCGCATCACATATCCTTTATGCATTTCACAGAAAGTACATGTAAGTTGTACACAGTCGTACACCCCAAAAATTATCCAGCATTTTTCATCACTGCGGTCAACTTTACACATTATTGCACGATACGATGCACATTTGTGATATCATATGTCTAATTCATTTATTCAGTAACTCATATAAAAAAAACACCAAATTTTTGGGACTAATCTTTTCTTCCTTTTCTTCTAGTCACTGAATTGTTGCCTGCAGTGTGCTTCACTTGCCAACTCATTGTATCTCTGTGACCCAAATTCATCGTTTCCTGACGGTTCGGGAAGCGAGCGGGTTCATACATGCCAGGGACATGGGAAAACATTTGTAGCCAGGAAATTACCGGTAATAGGTGGCTACCGTGTGTGGGCGAGCCAGTATCAAGACAAAGATAGCATCGGTGAATCTTCCCAAGTCCTGACAGACTATAAGCTGATTTTTTTGGTAGTGTTGTGTCTGGAATTGCCTACTATTAAAGTAACTCTAAATGTTCTCATTTTATTTTTAAATGTTGTTCCTCTTTTATAAAAAATAAAAATATGTATGGTATGAAAAATGTGGAAGGGCCTGGCTTTTTCAAACAACGTGGAAAAAAATCTCCTTAAATCTAGGAAAATGTCAGCAGTAATTACGTCAACAAGTAAGCAATTAAACACAAAACAGTTGAATTCTCAGGACATGTACAAAATTGAATAATTAAATTGTGGTTTTTTTTCTTACTGAATATTCAGGAAAGGAAACTGTATCCGTGCAAATTTCTGAGAAATAAGTGACCTCTAGTAAAAAGGAACTGGACACTTTCCAAAAAGTTACCGCATTTTACTTTCCAAAAAATAATAATAATAATAATAATGAACCATCTTCTGGTAGAAGCCAATTTTTGTTTAAAGGTAGGGTAGATCATTTGTCATTTGTGCATATTTTTTGTTTAATGCACCAAAGTGCTCAAAATCTAAAGACAGGTGCTTAACAACTAACTTGATAAAGTTTTAGCTTTGTAAATACTGCATATTCTGAGAAAACAATATTCTAGGATCTCGGTTTCAACTCCAAAATTCCGAGTCATGCCTTGAATTGTGCCCGAAATCTGCATCCGGGACACGTTGTCATTCAGCCGACTGCGGCTATGCGATGTCACGCACTGAACCGACGAATAATAGCAACCGCGCGCGCGTGTGCATCACATCAACGCTTTGCGCACCCATTCACAGATTTGCCGAATTACAAACCAACTACTGACGGAAATTTCCAAAAACGTGTCACATGACACATCTTTGGAAATGTCCTTCCTCTTATTGTTTTCTTCAAAGTAACAGCACGTCAGAAAGAACAATTTCACAGGGGGTTAATTGCCCTCCCCATCTTTAAACCAAAGAAGCTTTTCCACAAAGTTTCGTCAGTTGCTTTTTTGGATTGCTGCAAATGATCTACTCCACCCTTAAGTCAATCTATGATGCATCAGTGACAAACCACTGACTGTCTTACCGGGTACTTTTCGCACATCGATGACGTTACGCTGAAATTCTACAACGGGGCTGCCACTGTAACCGCCTTTTGATTGCATCTGTACCTGGATAGAATTTAAATGCTACAAAAAGAAAAGCAGAGAAAGGCCGTCTTACATACATACTCCACTGTTTTAAGTGAAAGCGAATGACCCAAAATGTATTGTTTCACCTATAAAGTCCCTGTACCACCCACTGATCTCTATATAAAGACTGGATAGCTAATAAAGAGCCACACAATGTACGAATTTGACGCCATATTGGTGAGACCGGCTGGTGATCTACAAAGGACATGTTGCCGTCTTTATAGACAGCATGATTTCTTTTGTAACGTCGCGGTTCACCTGACTTATATTTTGACCACCACCACTGACCAACTGACCAAGGTTTACTACAATTTTTCTAACGTTGTGGTTACTTTTATAATGCCGCAAATCACTTTTTCGGCGTTTTTGAAATAACAATCACTACGGAAATGTGTCCCTTTTAGAACATCATAATATGTGTACGTGACCAAAATGCGCGTCAACTGTTGTTACAACGCGCGCGTATTTACGCGTAGAACGTTCGTATTATACGCGGCCATCTTCGTGAGACCGGGGGCGAATTGGTCAATATGCAAAGTCTACTGTGTGAATGTTGTATGCATATCCGCTATCCAGTCTTTATATAGAGATCAGTGGTACCACCCCAAACCTCCCTGCCTGTTACTCCATGTACCGCCCAAAACTGCCCCAATACTCTATGGTTTTACAGGGAATTCATCAGGGAATACATGTACATAGAATGTAATACAATGTACACACATGTAGTACAGGGGCCAATTTCACAGCGCTGCTAAGCACAAAAGTTTGCTTAGCACAAAAAAGTATGGCCTATAAAAGCAGGTTACCAGTCAAAACTCCACGTGATGTATATTGCTCGTGATTATTATTCAGCTGTTGTTTGCTTAGCATGAAAATCACATGGAGTTTTGGCTGATAACCTGCTTTTATATGCCAGACTTTTTTGTGCTAAGTAAATTTTTGTGCTTAGCAGCGCCGTGAAATTGGGCCCTGGCCAGGTGCTAATGAGTTAGCAAAAGTGCACTTTATGGTGTCTAGGTATACATTTGTTGGTTTTTGGATGACTTTTTATTTCAAAGAGCGAACCTTTTGCAAGCGACAAAGATTGAAAATATTATCCTTTCTATCGATATCATTTTTGAGTGGGAGGAAAAAAAACAGGAAATCATACAAATATGTATTCAATAACCAGCATTATTTCCACAGTCATGTGTAATCATGCATAATATTTTATTATGAACAGCAAAATAGACTAAAAGCTGGCTAGGGAGGCCTTCAATAAATCCCCGGGTAACAAAAACAGTGAGGGTCTTACTGGATACACACAATAGACGCAGCACTGCAAGGGTCATGGTCAAGGTTAAGAATACTGAATTTTATAAAAAACAAATCTGTTGTGATGTTGTGATACACATTTATAAGCAAATATGAAGCATTCTGGCAAAATTAGACGGAACTGGGCATGGGTCGTAGTGTAGAAAATGCCCAAAAAATAAATGGGGGTAATTTTTTTCTGATTTTCAGATTTATTGATATTTGTAAATAATCTTTGATATGTCTCCTATATTTGAAATAGTATAAAAATGGTTGAATAATGTTTTTTTTTTTAAAATAAACAATTGGCGTCTTTCATTTTCACAAATACAAAACTAGAAACTTTAAAGGCCTTTTTCTCAGTATTTTACTTTTTTGACATGTCGATAAATACGAACTTTAAACGGCCATAACTTGTCAACGGAATGTCCGATTGAACTGCAACAAACAGTACTGTAAGGAGAATTTCATTCTCTTTCCTAATACCAACAAACCCGCATTTCAACCTCTGCCCAGTTCTGCCTCACTTGGCCAAAATCTTACAAATATTTAAATACATGTATTTTAGACAATCTGTCTGTGCATTATTCAAAATGGTCTGAAGCAGTCTGGAGTCGCCAAAGAAGTCAGCACAGCACATTACTGCACACAAACTCTGTAAGAGTGCAACAACTGTTATGGCTCACACTGTTTTTTCAAACAGGCAAAGTTGATGTACTGTACTAATTTTTCACTGATTGAAACAGTTGATCTTTGGGGCGATTCCACGGTTACTCGCATTACACTTTTTTGCACCCTTTCGTGTTCCGATTGCTGTGGTTTTAGCAGTTGTCGGACTATCTATCTCTTATGCGGACTATCTATCTCTTAAACAGATAGACTTCAGGGAAGTGTCAGGTCAGGGAACCAGACTAGCTGGCTTACACCCGTTCACGCATGTATTTACCGATTGTAAACAAAATTTGGACCAACTACATGTAAATGTGGTAAATTGGGGGCAGTATTTGAAAAAAGTCAGTTTTTTTTCCAACGATGGTCGGCTGACCATCGTTGGAAATTAATCCAAAAATTCCACTTTTCTTAAAAATGACAGCGCACTAGGAGCCATGATTTCACATGATGCTTGAGACTGTTATTCACTTACAGTCAAGTAAGGTATTTCATAATAATTTGGTAGTTTTGTTTTTTTGATGTTTGCAAATGTTGTACCGGTATATTGCACCTTTAAACAAGTAAAAAGTTTCATTAGGCCTATGTCATTGTATTTTTTTTTATTTAACCTTGACCCAGGCATGCAACAGGGAAATGACAAGAAAAGAGAAAATTACAAGCTTTACATGACTTTCTAAGTGGTTTTCAATGTTTAATAGTACAAGTGTGAAGTGAAAAACGAGGAAATCAGCTGATCAGAGGAAAAGTTGCATGTCTATTGACTTAAGATAACCATGACATGATTTTCAGGTCTATTTTACTCATTGTACGGGCACTCAATGTCACGTTCTTTGAATACCCCCACATACATGATGAAATAAATAAATGCTGGGCTTTATTGTCTACAGTCCAACAAAATCTCTTGTAAATCTCCTGACGGACTTTGACGGATCTTTGACAGATCTTGGAAGGATCGGAATAATCAGCCCTAGGTATTGGTTAATTTAAAGAATGCACTTCATTCATACACACTCCAGCCTGTATGGGCTCCGTGCGGGAACAAGAGAGGGCGCTTTTGCACCACTTTTGAGGGCCCCGTGGACGGAACACACTCATGCATGTACTGGTTAGCACACATATACCACGAAATGCACACGACTCATTTTATTCTGAATGTGCACAAAGCAATAGCGTCTTCACGTGAGCGTCAGACGTCGTCAGCAATGCGTTCAAATGTCTTTCTCAGTGGTCTCCCCCAACACTCCCTTTCTTACTGTTGAGGGGCACTTGTTCACGGAGGTTATTGGGCCGAACCGCACACAGCACGAGTACAAGCCCAAAAAAGATGTCCGATGTATTCACGCAAACTTGAACAGCTTCAAATCCAGCGAATTTAATACCACAATTGTTTTATGACATCCTATGTTTGGCATTAGCGTGTTGTCTGAACCAGCCTTTATTACACATCATATGGTACTTACATTATTTTGTTCGTTCAGTTCTTGCTGTGGGGTCATGTCTCCCGACCCTATGTGACCCGTGTGGATGAAATTTGTTGGTAGTCCTATCATGGTTCTGTCTATTCTCCGCCTCGTCTGATCAAAAGGTAAAACAAAACAACAGTTGATTCCCAAATTTTACAAATATTTTGAACACAGGAATTGACTGGAGCAGGCTTGAACCTGCGACCTCCCTAGGCCTGCATCTTGACTTTGGCTGTGATCCCTGGCTGCATGGCATACATGTATACGGGTTTATGGCTTCTGACTAGCGCCCCTTGACCAAAGATATTGATCGAATTGGGGTACATGTACATTATGGGGCTGGATAGCTCAGTTGGTAGAGCACTGGCAATACGGAGGTCGCATGTTCAACCCCCATCCAGTCAATTTCTGTGTTGAACGTTTTAAAATACTGTTATAATTTACCTAGTCAGTTTCCCTTTGTAGTTCAATTGAAAAATTGTAATAAAAAGCCATATCCTCTCCGAGTGATCCCTGTTTGGTATTTACCAGGTCTACATCGTGACTTTGGGTGTGATCCCTGGCTACCTGGCATGTTCAGGTTTATGGCTTGTAACTAGCGCCCCTTGAACAAAGATATTACTTGTATTCTCCTGTAATACTTCTTAACTTCGCGTGCTATTAATCTTAATCTAAATAATTAGATTCAAAGCATTACATTTTCTGGTGGTAATTACCTTCATATTTGTATTCCTTTATTTAAAGGTAAAGTCCATCATTTGCAATTTGTGCATTTTGTTCGTTTGACGCAACAAAAGTGCTCAAAATCTAAAGAAGGGTGCTGAACAACTACATGTAACATGTTGAAGTTTCAGCTCAGCTTCAGCTGTACATGTATATTGTGAGAAAAAAAAAACATTCTAGGATCTCGATTTCAAATCAAAAGTTGCTGAATCATATTTTGAATTGGGCCTGAATTCAGCGTCCGAGACACGTTCTCACTAGCCGATTGCAGCTACGCGATGTCGCGCACCCATCCGATGAATTATAGCAATCACGAGCGCATGTGCATCGTGTCAACGCTTGCGCGCACTTCGCCGAATAAAAAAATGAACTACTAACGGAAATTTCCAACGGTGTTCTTAAGACGCACCGTTGGAAAGGCCTTCTTTCGTTAATTTCTTCAAAATGACAGCTTGCCAGAAAGAATAATTTCACAGGGAGTTTAGTTCCCTTACTATCTTTCAACCAAGTATGTTTTTCACCAATAATTACACCAGTTACTTTTTGGATAGCTGCAAATGATGGACTGTGGCTTTAAATATCACTGTATTATACTTATATTATCCAACTTTGTATTGGTTTATTGGAGAGTGCTAAATAAATGTCAACTGAATTGAATTGAATATTGCCGAATTGGAGAAACGTCAACGTAGGGCTGGATAGCTCAGTTGGTAGAGCACCGGAATGGTAGTCCGGAGGTCGCATGTTCAACCCCCATCCAGTCAATTTCTTTGTTCAACTTTTTAAAATATTGCTGCAATTCACCTAGTCAGTTTCTGTATGTGGTTCACTTGAAAAAAAAATGTAAAATGTGAAATTTTTGGGTTTTTTTGTAGGTTCTTGTTAAGGCCATTCCCGTAACCTCACAACGTTTCTGACCAGCTTTAACTTTTACCTCAAGAAGAATTTAGAAGCCCTCACCATTAAAATTTAAAGGAACTGGAACCAAATTAATATTTGGAGTTGATGTTGAGATTTCTAACCCCAACTGCCCTGAATCCTCCAAAATCCTCTTTGCCAAAGAGGAGGAATTTGGATGATTGAGGTTGCACGGCAAAAGTGCGTTACTGATTTCATAGGATGCACTTTGTCAAGGTCTTGGGCCGGACCTTGTGTCGTTTTTGCTCAGCCATGCATAAATACAGGCCTGGATTATGCTTGAAATCCTCCATACTGCTCCAGGATGTCACTGGCCAAGCCTCACCATATTGACAGTCACTGCCGCAGGATTTTGCAGGATTCCGACAGTGGTCACCCCTCCATGGACCATATTCAAGAAATAATGGAGGAATTTGCAGGATTGAGGCTATATGCGATTTTTCTATGTTGCCAATTGGAGGATTTTGCAGGATTGAGGCTAGATCCCTGCAAAAAGGCCTAGGGAGTTAGGGCTAAACACCCCAAATTCTCAGTTGAAGATTTACATGGCAGAAAAGTCAATAGATGTGGGATTTGCGGTCACACCATGTACTTATGTAGTCAAATCTCTTTAGCGACATTGTGTGGTTCTGAAAGGAACCAGTTTGGTAACATGACGTTTTGGACAGTATGCTCAATCTCCTGAAAACAGACAGAGCATACCATCCGTTACCAAGTCACAAAAGAGACTTCACTACACGGTGTGACTGCAAAGCCGACACTTATTGTCTCAGCATCCGTTCGACTTACAGGCGGTGGCTGTTCTGTCACACAGCAGCCGAAGCAGATCAGTACGTCGCTCATTCTCCGAGGCGGCATGAAAGCAATCTCTTCTGGAGAGTTCTGTTATTTCACAACCGTAACTAATGACTCCTGGTAGTGTTCATGTATGGTCATCCGTTCTACCTTTGTGTAGGTAGTTGACTTTGCCTGAATGCACAAAAAAAGAGAGAATATCCAGTTAGAAGGTGCTATGGTATAAAATATTAGCGATAACAGTTCACATGCACCTCAACTAAAAAACTGTTCGGCATACATTCTGCTGTTGTAAAATTTCATATTATTGATAAAAGGATCAACCAGAAATGAAGTTTATACTAGTACAAGATATTCATACATTTTAAATCACATTACATGTACTGATAAATAAAGTTATGCCAAAATTGAGCATCCCCCCCCCCAAAAAAAAAACTACATGTACATATGTATAAACAAGATGACAAGGATCTAAAAAATTTGCCACTTTTGAAGAGCCTGTGCATAACAAGATTTGACGATTTTTCTTTCGGGATAAACCAGGCAGATAAATTCACACAAGGCCATGGAGAACGTAGTTACCTAGCCCCACTAGTGTGGCCGTCGGTATGCTGCGCTGAACCTAAGGCCACACACCGTGGTCCGCGCACTACTGAGGACGTTTTCATAAAATTTGCAGGGAATTTCTTACATATGGTTGTATTCTACGATGTCCCATCTACATGTGTGTATCACTTCTGGGATGCTTAGGTGTAATGATGTTCAATTTTCCGAGATATTCTTGAAGCTTTCTGGAGCCCATATGCACTCGTGAAACGTCCGGTGATGGCAGCCATTTTGAATGTGACAAGAGATGACCTCAAGCTGTGACGTCGTGTTTATGCAAATTGCTTGTCGAGCGAGGGCGCGAGTTGCAAATGCGACAGCTGTTTCCTGTACCATGCATTTATCGTCTGGGGGCCACGTGCACTGATCTCTATTCAGGATCTACGACACAGGAAACAGCCGTCGCATTTGCAACTCGCGCCCTCGCTCAACAATTTGCATAAACGCGACGTCACAGCTTAAGGTCATCTCTTGTCACATTCAAAATGGCTGCCATCACCGGACGTTTCACGAGTGCATATGGGCTCCAGAAAGATTCAAGAATATCTCGGAAAATTGAACATCATTACACCTACCTAAGCATCCCAGAAGTGATAGATGGGACATCGTAGAATACAACCATATGTAAGAACTTCCCTGCAAATTTTATGAAAACGTCCTCAGTAGTGCACGGACCACAGTGTGTGGCCTTAGGTTCAGCGCAGCATACCGACGGCCACACTAGTGGGGCTAGTAGTTACCTAATTAACAATGTAGTATCCAGTATCCACTTAACGTGCTTCAGCGGGTTGTGTACAAAGTTTATGGAGAGTCATGTTTCTCAGTCCCAGATTCATTTTTTCCCCACATTTTCGCAAAGACTGACCTTTATTGTGATGATATATGAAGAAAAAAGACAATCTAAAAACACTTGCGTTATGAAATGCATGAACTGATGAAGGTTTACTTTTTTGAAAAATTTTACTTCAGCTTCAGACATGTCAGAAGTCTGGATCTCTTTTATCTTGCTGGTAACCCGCTATACTTTTGCACACATGTGATGAAATGTTTATCCCTAAAGAAAAAATATCGTCAAATCTTAATGTACACAAATATTGTTCCTTCCTCCATGGGGACTTAGAATGAATACCGAACTGGCTTCATCCGCCATGTCCACACACGCGGTGTATTGTAATTTGTACGGCGCAACAGCTACTGCACTTCCGGTAAAACCTGCTCCCAGTTTTCCCCATGCAAATACGGAAAGAAAAATTACCTGACCCACCACAACCAAACGCTTTCTTGCTCTACTATCTGCCGATCACTTATACAATATATTGGAGTACTGCTGGAATAATTTCCAATTCAAATTTTGCAAATAAGTGTGGACTTCCGCATTACCCAACCAGTTCAGAGTAGCGTTTCACACTCACTATTTACGACCAGTCAGGCAGCTACACACCTATTGTGTGAAGTTCTCATTGTGAGCACAAGGATACCAGACATACTTCGCTGGTACTTTGCGAAAACATAACGGCTGATTGCACTTCATGCTTCGCATTGTTTGGAACCAGTGGGTGGGTGTAGTTTATTTTGGGCGTGGTTAGGCAATTATCGATCGCTTTGATCCTTCTCCGCCCATGTTTGGATGCACCGATCTATTTAGCAGGCGCTTAAATGCAATGAATTCGAATTTACAAAGGCTGATCGTAAAGTGTTGTAATAGGAAACTCATTGTGAAACCGCAGCTTTTGCGACATAAAAAGTAAAACTGGTAAGACAGAGTGTTATTGAGCACTGTGAAAGAGATGTACACCCGGCCCGGCCCACGGCCACGGGGAGTTGCAATAATGGTTCCGTGGTTGTGTTTATTATGTGTTTATTTTTTTTGCAACATGGCTCCTTGCTCTTTATTGGAGTTAATTGCAGATACCAGGAAGTGATGCAATAGCTCCTCCCCCGATCAAAATGTTTATACATTGTACATGTACATCAAGGGCATCAATCACTTCTCAAAAGTGTGTGTGGGGGGGGGGGGACATACATTGATGACAACTAATGCGAGCGCGAAGCCATTACGGCGTGTGGGGTTCTGGTCCGTTTAAGTTAAGGGCCATTGTATCTAATTGTATTGTATTTGTACATGTAATGTACATGTATTCATTGTATTGTATTGTATATGTTTGTAGTCATTGTTAGGCAGGGCCCCAATGGAAACCAGTTTTTAAACTGTTTGGGCATACCGTCTGGGTAAATAAATGTAATAAATAAGGGCCCTGAAAAAAATTAATGATTCTGCGCTCTGTGTGGTCCGATCTGAGGCATTTCTGGCCACTTTAACCTGGTATTTTTTTGTTAGCAAATGGTAATCAGATCATTTAAACATCATTTATGAGGTTGGAGTCTTTGAATACTCTGAGCTAAAGTCCTGGTGTTCGGGGCCCGCCTACAATAAAGGGCCCCAAACAAATTTGATTCTTGATGCCCTGTGCTATCTGAGTCAACTTCTGACCATGTATGTTCTTAGCAAAAGATACATGTAATAATTCCATCATAATTTTCGAGGTTGAAGCTAATCAGCTATTCTGAGCTATAGGCGTGGGGTTCGGGGCCCGCAAAGGGCCCCAAAAAATGATTGATTCGAGACGCTCTGTGTGGTTCGATCTGTGGCAATTTCTGACCACTTTAACCAATATTTTCTTAGCAAAAGATAATAATTTGAACATCATTTTCGAGGTTGAGGTAATTGAATCAGCTATTCATGAGCTATAGGCGTGGTTCGGGGCCCGCTTAAGGGCCCCGGAAATATACCGGAAATATACCGGTGGTATGTACGTGCAATCTGAGGCATGCAATGTCTGTCCACCTTAAACAATATTTTCCGAAAAGACTGAGGACAGAATACTTATTAGGGCCCTGTTATTGAGACACACGAGTTCAAAAATGGGGGGGGGGAGGCATTTGATATTGTGTCCACCCCCCCCCCACCCCTCCCCCAAGGATTGACGGCCATGCCTTCTATCACCACGCCCCGGGCCTGGATTTTACGCGAGGTACGCCTTTGTTTTCGAGGCAAGGTTAAACAGGGTACCTCCATGAATACATGAACTCCGATTTTTAAAGCGACGTACACACGCCACACTCCACATGCTCCGACATGCAACACAATTACACACAGCATCAAAGTTATTATTTTTTTGTGTTTCATCTTTTGCAAATGATTTCGTCAAACGAACTTAATTTCGAATACTTCTTGAAAACTACGTGTCTCATGTTGTACGGTATGAAAACATTGATAGGCCAGTTCGTAATGAAGAAACGTGGACAAAAGCCAACTTGTATTTGCAATTTTGAATGATATTACTTAACTTTGTTTAAGATTGTAATCATGCTGCCCGGACTGGCCTGGAGCATGGGCGTCGCCAGGATTTTTTGTAGAGGGGGGCAAATTTTTTTTTTGCCAAAAAATGCTTGTATTTCTCAACACATTCTCGACTTATCAGTTTAAGAGGGGGGCAGGGACATTTTGCCCCCCCCCCCTCAATAAATTTACACAACTTTGTCTTCGCGCCTCTTTTTCTTTTTTTTTCTTTTTTCTCCCTTTTTTTTTTTTTTGGCTTATCCAGGGGGGGAGGGGGGGCAAGTGCCCCCCCTTGCCCCCCCCCCCCCTCGCGACGCCCATGGCCTGGAGGATGCAAACAAATGACAAAAGTTTGCTCATTATTGCCCGAAATGTCGACTTTTCGTCCGATTTTCATAGGAGTCCGATTTTCATAATTATAACAACGGCCCAGCGCCCTAGGCCCCGTTTGCAGAGCGGGGATCCGGGTACGAGCGAAGCCCTATCATAAACAGATAAAGGATGCGCATCGGTATCGCGAACAGCGCCCCTAGTGTAATGTGGTGTCCTGGTGTAGGGTTGTTTTCGTTTGCATTTCAATATTCGTATTTTTAGAATTAAGCATTAAAACTTGCTCTTCACATTATTTTTCACGAAATAATGTTTAATCACAGGCTGATGAAAGATTTTTAAAAATCCGAGCGAAGCGCTATCATAAAGGATGCACATCGGTATCGTGAACAGCGCCCCTAGTGCAATGTGGTGTCCTGGTGTAGGGTTGTTTTTGTTTACATTTCAATATTCGTTTTTTGAGAGTTAAGGATGAAAACTTGCTCTTCACATTATTTTGCACGAAAATAATGTCTGATCACAGGCTGATGAAGGATTGAAAAGCGAACGCAATACAGGCCTGATTTAAACTGTTTTTAAAAAATCTGTCAAAACAATTATCGTTTCCTTTTTTTAAAAATGTCCGCACAATACTAAAGTAGTAGTGGCGGAGTTGAGAATCCGTATCTGTCCCTGTCCAAAATACAAAGAATAGAAGTCAGGCGCGGATCCAGAGCAGGGGTCGAACCCCCCCCCCCCCTCCCGCCCCGCCAAGCCAATCCCGCTCTGACACACACAGAATAATGTATAGGCTATACAATTATGAAAAATGATAAGATCGGATAAAAACATCTAACGGGCCTGACTCCTTCCCCCCCCCCCAGTTCGCCAAAATTTCGAGATCCGCCCCTAATACCTGTTTCAGGCTACATAATAATAGTGTTCATTGTCGCGTAACGACAAGACATGTTTAGCACACGGCCTACCACTAATGAGGCTGCCGTATACAATTTTCCAAACAAAACAGTTGATTCATTATTGCCCGAAATATCGACTTCGATTCTGTTCGCCCATGGAGCCAAAACAGATGCACACAGCAATGCTCCGGGTTTCACCGCCTATTATTAAGACAAATTGTTTTTGAGGAGAATTCCAAGGAAGCCTGATGGCCGAGTGGTTAGATTCGTCGTCCACGAATCGCGGAGCCCGGTATCGAATCCCGTCGGTGTCTTTTTGCTTTTCAACGCACGCGTTCTATTCAGTCATTATAAGATGTTTAATTTCCCGTCGTAAATTACCAACGGTACCTTAGCTTAATCGGTAAGCTCTGCGGCTGGTACTGTCCGTGAGTTCCAGGTTGGCGCCTTCGTATAGGTTCAGGGCATGTGGTCCACTCGGAGGATCAGGGCTTAGGGGCCGCCCTGTTCCTCCCTTAGCTCTTGCTTTTACATGGTGCCTGGCCCTCCGGGGTTATATGGATGGACAGGGAAGGAAGTGTGTATTGGCCGGGACACCCGAGAGCCCAGAAGAGAACTAAGGGGCGGGCTGGGGCATTGTTATGGCTCAGACCGACCCCTGAAAGCTTGGCTAGCACATAACTTTTTGATTTTTTTTTATCTCTATTTTTTTCAACTTTGGTTAAGTTTGATATTTACAGCCGCTCGGCAGGTCTACGGTAGTATCCAAAACTAAACCAAGGTCTGTGTCATCAATCAATAAATATTTAGCAACTGACTATTTTCCTAATCAAAACGAAGTTTCGTTCGATCACTATGACTATACCATTATTCATGGCTCCATTTCCAATTGACGTAAGAAACGCCATGCAATAACATACCGGGGAAAATAAGGATGTACATTGTAATATATATATTAGGGGCCATTCAGAATTTTCAATGTTTTAAAATTTCGACTATTTTTCCAAATTGTGGGTGGGTGGGTCAAGCTAAATAATTGAAAATCGAAATTCACTTTTCATGGAAAAAAAGATCCAAGTCTTTCCGAAAGGACACGCAACCCGCACAGGCCCGCCAGTGGGATGTAATGATGTACATGCAAGTGCATGTACATGTACATGTACATGTACATGTTTTGTTTTTTAATACTGCGTAACAAATCATTTTTTTATGAATCGAAATTAGGAGTGGGTGGGTGGGTCAAAATAGTTTGGAAATAAAGTCGAACTTATAAAACATTGAAAATTCTGAATGGCCCCTTAGTAGTAGTATTTTTTTTTTTATTTTTTTTGGGGGGGGGGAGCGCTATTTTTTGACGTTGGTGGCGCCACTTAGCGGCCATTCAGAATTTTCAATGTTTTAAAATTTCGACTATTTTTCCAAATTGTGGGTGGGTGGGTCAAGCTAAATAATTGAAAATCGAAATTCACTTTTCATGGAAAAAAAGATCCAAGTCTTTCCGAAAGGACACGCAACCCGCACAGGCCCGGCAGTGGGATGTAATGATGTACATGCAAGTACATGTACATGTACATGTACATGTACATGTTTTGTTTTTTAATACTGCGTAACAAATCAGTTTTTTTTATAAATCGAAATTAGGAGTGGGTGGGTGGGTCAAAATAGTTTGGAAATAAAGTCGAACTTTTAAAACATTGAAAATTCTGAATGGCCCCTTAGTAGTAGTATTTGGGGGGGGGGGGGAGCGCTATTTTTTGACGTTGGTGGCGCCACTTAGGGGCCATTCAGAATTTTCAATGTTTTAAAATTTCGACTATTTTTCCAAATTGTGGGTGGGTGGGTCAAGCTAAATAATTGAAAATCGAAATTCACTTTTCAT